AACCGAAAATCATTTTTTTAGAACGATTTGAAATTCTTTAATTTTGTCAAAAAACTTCACACCTTCTCGAATTTTTTTCTCGGCAGTGGATAAAATTTCGGGGGTATGTCTATTGACCGAAAATGGTTGTACTTGACCCTAGAATATAAAAATAATTTTTTCAAACCGATTTGAAATTTGTTAATTTTGTCAAAAACATTTGTCCACCTATTCGAATTTTTTTCTCGAAACTGAGTAGGATTTCGAGGGTATGACTGTTGACCAAAAATGCTTGCAATTGACCCCTGCACCTATAAATAATTTTTCTAAAATGATTTGAATCTTTTCAATTTCACCAAAAAATTTAGGCACCTCGATTATTCTTAAAAATTCGTTTTTGATTTTTAGTAATTTTGTTTTACGTTCTACAGAAAAGTTGTTTAATACTTTTTTGTAGGTGCCCATGAGCTCTACTTCAGAAAAAAGATTCATTCAAATATATTCACTATTCTAGGAGTTATAGCCCTTTGAAAATTGAACCATTTTTAGGGGGGTTTTCTTACCTTACGGTCAGGGAACAACTTTCCGAATATTTTTGAAAATTTCCACACATTTTCCATCAAAATACGCATAGTTTGCTTTTTTAAACATTAAAATCCTTCAATCCGTTTAGAAGTTACGACGTTTTAAAGATACGCAAAAAATTCTGGAGTGACATTTCTGGCCCGAAATTATATTTTCGATAAAGAATTTTTTTCTCGAAAATGGTTAGGATTTCGGCGGTATGTCTATTGACCAAAAATGATTGTAATTAACCACTGCAACCGAAAATAAGTTTTTTAGAACGATTTGAAAAATTTTTTTTCACCGAAAAATTTCAACACCTATAAATTTTTTCTCGTAACTGCGTAGGGTTTCGAGGGTACGTCTATTCACCAAAAATGATTCTAATTGACTCCCGCGGCTAAAAATATTTTTTCGAGAACGATTAGAAATTTTTTAACTTAAATACTTGTTCTTTTCCGAAACGTTTTATATCCTCCAACAGAAACAAATGGATGTCAGTCGTCGGTGGTTTTAGTACTAAGATGCAAGTTGGCTTTGAATTGGTCAGGATGTGCTTCTGGTATGTCTAATTAATAGTTCGACCATCTATGGCAGTCTTCCATAGCGTTTCGCCCAAAGAACTTTAATCCAAGTGTCCACGATACGGTGTTGAACGAAGTCGAGAAATGGTTCGTCTTCGAAAATTTTGACCACGACGCTCGATGACGGTGGCGAAATGGTCGCAGTTCAAATTGGATGGGCGGGGCTGAAGGTCCTGGATACTAACCATCAGCCGCCATCTGCTAACCGTCGGTCGAACAATCCTGGAAACTGCCGCTCGTGCAGTGGGGCCTGGAATCGTTTCGCGTTCCAGACGCCCGGAACGAAATTCTAGGGATTCTCCTTTTCCTTCAGGAATCCTCGACGATTTCTGTATCTGCGTCTTAATTAATAGCCTTTGTTTCTCCTTTGCTCTGTTCTGACCCACGTCCAGGATCGCGAGGGAAGTTACATGATCGACGAAAACGTGGGAAACAGTTCAGACGTTTACCGAAATTTTGAATAGAAACATTCTTAAAAGCTGGCCAGTGATTTCAAGAATTTAATCACGACGAAGGATACAGTTTTTGATCCGCGCACGCCACTGTTTAGAATTTGTTGTTTTGAAGGTGATCTTCCAAAATGCATACTTTCTTCATTGACAAAGCAGTAACAGGTTGAAAGTTGGCCAGTGCGATATAAAAACTATCTTCAGGCATTTTTTACTTCCCATCTCATTCCTCGTTTCCATCATAGCTACTCGTCTGTGAGAAGGAAGCGACTAACCGTGTAGCTGGCCGGTTGCCATCCTCCGGTGATCCGGTTCAAGAGAAAAATGCTTCTGCTCCGATAGAGTGAGTGGCAATGGACATCTGTCCATTGAAATCCCCTACTCAGGGTCCCTTTCTGTGATCAGAAATTCTAAGTCGTGTCCACGTTTGTGTCCACGTAGCAACAGGGTACCATGAGTGTTGCATCGTGTGTCGATCCATTGGTACGTCGAGGCTCTATTCTATCCATACTGCCATGATCCGTAGATCACGAGCATTGTTATCTACCCCCCAGCCGCTCCACGCCTGAGGGTAAAGACCAAGAACTGCTAGCCCTCTCAACATCCTTCGTATCATCGAGGAAAGGTAGTTGAACGACCTAATCTTCACTCCGAGCGCTACAGCACGTAAGGACGTTTCCTCTTGGGTCTTTTCTATTTGGTTTGGGTCTATAATACTCCAAGAGCTCGACCAGGGACGCGATCAGCGAGGAATAGGGATCCCGTTTCGAGGGTGTCAATCATTTCCGTCTTGAATCGGACTTACTGAAATTAGAGTCAATCGAGTTAACGCGCCCGCTACCGCCGCGAGGCTCTACAAACACGGCACCCATGGGACGAAGGATTAGAATACGCCCCAATCAACGCGTTCGCTCACCACACTTGACTACGGATCGCCGGTACGATACCGGATTCTAAGCCCTTAAGCATCCACTATGGTCGTGCACGAAGCCTTTCTATACACTGCTGCAACGACGCACGAGTTGGCGTAGTCGGAATTCCCATGGCTGGTCTATGCCCTGTCATAGTTACTATAGCGGCCTGACCCATGAATCGGTGAAACGGGACCTATCCCCGTCGTTTACAGGCTTCAGGAATAGCGAACAAAATGAGCACGGCACGTTCAACCATCGCTAACCCCTACGGTATTCTCTCGCTTATTGAGTAAATTTTATCCCCCTCAAGAAAACGTGAAATCATTCTCATCGCTATTTTTCCTGCTACAGTTAACGCTTCATCGCCAAGGGGTTGTAATCTTGATTTCTCTGTTGGTTAAGCTAGAAGAAACATATTTTTATTTAATTCTTTGATTTAAACTTTATGAAAATAAAGTTGACGCGGGTATAAATATTTGACACGAAATCGCAAAACCAATCTTGTAAGCCACAAAGTGGACACTGTGTGTGGTATCGGTGGCCGAGCGTCGCGACGTCGCTAATTTCCGCGCGTATCCTCCGCAGTGGCCGCAGAACAGAACTTTAAACCGACTACAGGCGAATCGAAGGCGTTGCAGAGAGGTCCACGACCGTTAAATTCATGCTAACGCTAATCAATGATGTATTTCCGGCAGCGTGTGCGAGCTTCCGCGAACAAGTTCGTTCTAAATATCTAACCCCCCGCGGCCGCTACAGAGGCCCGGAGGGGGAAAGGTTTCGCGTTATTATTCGACCGGGGGGTTAACGGCGAGACACGCGCAAAGTACCAGGGAATAATTCAACAAGTTCGCCATTATAACTGGAACGCGCTAAACAACGCAGAAACAGCCGCATTGTGATTCGATGATTAATTCAGTCTCGGGCTAATGCATACTGTGATCTGTACGGAACCGTGTGTTTGGACTATTTTAAACGATTCGCGGTTGATAAACGCGCTATCCATCCGTCGCCATTTCGATAAGTTTCCACTGACAATTTTTTTTCTGACACTCGACTGGCCAAAAGGAATGCAAAATACAATTAAATATCGATATTTTATCACCACAGACAACTATTAAAACATTATTTCTATGCAATATGTTTAGTCGTTCTTTGCCACTTGTTCTGACCACCGAGTACGTAAAAATCATTTATATTTTTAACGTTTGTCTCTCGTTGCTCTTCTTTCGTTCAAGTAAAACAGTGGCTGCCAAGGCGTAGATCGTTACGAATTTACATGTTTCCACTCTTTTTACACGTTGGTGCGAATGGCACCAGTTACGGCTCGTTAACACGGGCAATTATTAGCCCGCCGCAACCTTCCACTGGTCTTCGTTTTTTCGCGTAGGCGCGCAGTTTATAAATCGTTAAGACGCTCCTCTTAAGGCTGTGCACAGCGGCGTCTCGGAAAATGAGGCAAACAATTCCTGGCAACTCGTCGACTTTGATTCGTTAACGCGATGGCCTGCATTCCGGTAAAATTTCTCTTATAATAACTTCGTCTATCTTTGCTGTATAAAACGTATAGCTTTATCCTTGGTAATAACATGCCTTGACATTAAATCCCTGCGAATCTTCAGCGTTGATCGGGCTTTCCTCTTTTCTACCGTAACTCATTTCCCTTTGCTATTCTTATTTGATTCAACTGTCTGCTCGATCCAGTTCGGTGCTCTAACCACCATGTTGCTGTTCTGCTTTTCCACATTTGTGTCTTTTATATATCAGAGCCCCTTACTAAAGGATCTTTCTGTAAAATAAATAAATGAAATATAAAATTTACTGTAACGCGTCTAGGAACAAATTCAATTCAATTTCCTTGAACGCGCAAAATAGGGATTAGAGAAATTAATCTTCGAGATATCGCGAGCATAAAGCAATTTTACGGGGTTCTCGTGCCGAATCGACCGTACATCCTCGTAAAATAAGAAATAGTGATGCACAAAGAGCATAAAATTTCCGACAGATCTTAAGCACGTCGTGAGCGAAGCGAAGTGTCGCGCGTAAAACTTTTGATTTTCGTCGACCGCGCCGAATACTCCGTCAAACGTTTTTCCAAACGAAAATTCGGGGTACGCGAGAGACCAAGTAATTCCTGAACGTCGAGGAAATTACAAGGAAGATTTACGGCTCGGCGGAGCGGAAGCCGAAAGAAAATTTGACGACAGAAGCCCCATCGTTTGCGGACGCTTCGAGAGCGTTTCGTCGAACATGCATTAACGTAAAATTTTACATGAAATAAAATCCCCTCGGAGGAGCTAGAAATTTTCTTCTTTTTGTACTTGGTGGATGTTCATTTGATATAATAAATAATCCTAGACTAGACTTTTCAGGTTTTTAATCGCTTGAAAAAGCAATGCTCGGTTTTAATTGAAACCTCATGTATAGCTAGACACTATCAATGTTTTTTAACGTCTTATCTAGTTTTATTTTGGGCAAGAAAATAAATAAATAATTTGTGGAATTCTTTTCAGATGTTTAACTACGTCGTTTTAGCGTGCTGTTTTTGGCGGCTATCGAGCGTTTGGGGGATGAAAAACATCAGACACGGGGTTGCAAGGCATCTAAGATCGATTGGATTCCCCGAGGGTAGCGGCATGGGGGTAAAGTACCAAATAAATCGTTAATTTTTCATCGACTAACGGCCACCGTCTACCATTAACTCAATATTAACGTCGCGATGGTCTCCGTTCTTGGTAATATAGCGCCGGAAGGAAACGGAAAATTTCGTGTCTGAAAAATGAACAAGAATGTTCGCTTTAAAAGTGCACGGGACAATTCCCGCGTGGACAATTTTTTAAAAGGGCGGGCATCGTGCGGCGAAAACGAATCGTTGCATGGAAATCGTTTCACCGCGGTCGTTTCCGTAAGAAATCGTTGTTATTAAAAAAAAAAAAAGGGAAAAAAATTACCCTCACGTTCTCAGATATTCTTCGCCCTCGGAGTGCCCATTGATATTCCCAACAAATCGGTCCTATTTTCACTCTACTTCGAGGCGAATTATGGCGTGCCCGGGGAATGGAACTCCAGCTATTATTTGGACGAACCGTATTTGAGGAAACGCAGTCTGGATCGACGGATGTCGTACGACGTTCTCGTAAACAAATTGGAAAGGTGATGATCATTGTCGGTAATCGAAGATTTTATCAATTGAAAAGAATCGCGCGAGCTAAATTTGAAAGAATTCTCCCGTTGACTTTTTCGTCGCTAAACTTTGAACGCATTGCATCGAGAGGATTGAACAAATGTTTAAAATATCATAATACTTCGACAGTTTCGGTTATTCCGGGGAGAGTTGTCTACTAAAAATGATCTGCGAAGTCGCGAACTATCCTCTGTCCAACAACGGAGTTCTCGGCGATATTCTGCAAATTTTATTCACGTGAGTATACAAACACTAAATAAAGAAATGATTACAGCATTCACTGTAATATACTCATGGTATATAACTTTGTAAGCAATGTTTAAATGTTTTAAGTGTACCACGATTATAATATTATAAGATAATTTTCGTTACAGGCCATCATCTTCACAAAATGAGGGTCTTCCAAGCATGATTACCGAAGCTGAGTATAAGGAAGACTGCGATAACTACTATGAAAAATGTCCCCAAAGTCCATTAGCTCTGATAAGCAAAAATCTCAACCATAATATTTGAAGGGGACATGATATTAAACGCAAACTTCATATTAGAATATCTAAAAAAATATTGTGCAACCTTTGCCACTTCAAAGCAAAATCAATATACTATGCACGTATAAAATTGCAAAATTTAGTATAAAATTACTATACGCACTTCCATTTTAACTTCGAATTTCATAACGGGAAAACTATATCGTGTTGAATTAATTTGTAAATTATCAAGTTTTTCTACCGACATATTTCTCATATTATACACAGGGAAAAATTTTAATGGGAGATTCTAGAGGCCAAAATAAGACGAAAATCAAGAATACCAATTTGTTGATGGAGGCTTCGTTAAAAAGTTATTAAAAAATTAAATTAAAAAATTTCATATCATTCATGAAAAAATTATTTTCAGTTGTAGGAGTCAATTACAATCATTTTTGGTCAATAGACATACCGCCGAAATCCTAACCATTTTCGAGAAAAAAATTCTTTATCGAAAATATAATTTCGGGCCAGAAATGTCACTCAAAAATTTCTTCCGTACCTTTAAAATGTCATAACTACTGAACGGATTAGACGATTTTAATGTTTCAAACGGCAAATAACGCGTATTTTGATGTAGAGTATGTACAAATTCCAAAAATATCCGAAAAATTGTTCCTTGACGCCGTAAAATGAGAAAAACCCCATAAAAGTGGTCCAATATTCAAACAGCACTAACTTCTACAATAGTGGATATATTTCAATGAATTTTTTTTTTAAATAGAGTTGATAGGTACCTACAAAAAAGTATTAGACAACTTTTCTGTAGAGCGTCAAACAAAATTATTAAAAATCGAAAACGAATTTTTAAGAAAAATCGACAATGGTGGTGTCTAAATTTTTCGGCCAAAAAATATTTCAAATCGTTCTGAAAAAATTATTATTAGGTCCTGGAGGCAAGTACAACCAGTTTCGGTCAATAGACATACCCCCGAAATCCTACCCACTTTCGAGAAATAAATTCGAGTATGTGTAACAGCAAAAAAAAAAATTCAAATCGTTCTAAAAAAATTATTTCCAGTGGCTAGGGTCAATTAGAATCATTTTTGGTCATTACACATACCCACGAAATCCTACTCACTTTCTAGAAAAAAATTCGAGGTGTGAAATTTTTCGACGGAAAAAAAATTCCAAATCGTTTTGGAAAAATTATTTTCGGTTGCGGGGGTCAATTACAATAATTTTTTGTGTATAGACATACCCCCGAAATCCTGCGCATTTTCGAGAAAAAAATTCAGTACGGGCGGAACTTTAAATGTTAATAACTTTTTAACAAAGGCTCCATCAACAAATTGTTATTCTTGATTTTCGTCTTATTTTGGCCTCTAGAATCCCCCATTAAAATTTTTCCCAGGGGTGGCCTAACACCCTGTATGAATACACATTTAAATTTGTACACGATTGTTTATAATAATAACAAAGTAATTAAGTAGGTATACTTACACAATGCGAAGAGGAAACATCATTGGACATGTTGCTTCGAACTACCGAAAAAACATAATTTATCAAAGTAACGCAATACGCGATCCTTTTCAAATAAAATGTTCAAATTCAATTCAGCAAGCTACTACATTCAGATTTTGACAATACGAAGAGCAATGATAAATTAAACAAACGTGCACCAAACGAAGTTTGTGTTTGCACGTCCACCAGTAATAATCAGTACATAGAATTGAACGTCGAGTGCGATAAACGACAGTCCAAACACCCTTTTGATTACACAAATTCATTGTAAATTTGAAGCACATTAATGTATGCAATTTGGGAACGACGTGGCTTGGTTCGACATTTTAACTATGATCGAGTTTATAATAAATGTACAGCAACTCTTCGCGTACATTGTCGAACGCGTTTCAAGGTATTGCAAATACCATGGATTCGACGAATAGAGACAATGCAATTTTAAATGCAGTTAAAATGCATTAGTTAGATACGATAAAAAAATATACAAAATTTCAAATGAAAAATGCAGAAAAGACAACTGTAACTCAAAGGAGAAGATGAAAAATGTCGGAAAGAATAATTAATTCCTCAGAATCTATAAAATTGTTTAACTTAATCGGTGCTCACACATGTAACAATATAAATAGTTTGTTCGTACCGCTACTATTACGCATACAAACTCGTAACGGCAATCTTCACAGAATAAATGAAATTTCTGAATGCTAGTAAGAGTTCGATCAATGTATTCATAATTGATTTCACATTGGCAATACATGGACAATACGATGTACAACGTAACAGAACCAGCGGACACGGTTATTACGAAAGTTTAATCTAACTCTCACAAAGGCGGAAATGGATTTGCAAACAGGAATAGGCAGAATCGAATGAATTTCTACTTAGAACGATTGACGAACAACCTGACGTATTGTATTCTATGGTGATCATCTACATTCGCTTATATTTTTTAATTCATTCATGCAGTCGAATATGACTCTTGTAATTTGTATCTGCCAAATATACTATTCTGTACTTGATATCTAGTAAAGAAAATTCAGTGTCACTGGCAAATGACAAATACCATCATTGCATCAATTGATATGTATATGGTATTAATGCAATGCTTTTCAAGAATTCATATTATTATAAAGTTATCTGTTTATATCAAATTTGAAGACCAGACATCACATTAATACCATTTACACGTGTCTGACGTTGTACTAAATATTGAAATCGAAAAATATATTCTGTACTTACTCAGCCATTGAATATAAAATGCTAATATATTCAATATTTACTGACTGTTCACTTTGAATGATGTCTCAGCAGAGAAAACTATTGTAGGATACAACTCCAGTACCTTTGTTCCTATTCGTAATATGCTCACAAGCGTAATTCGGGTACAGTGATCTAGAAATAATTTTCTATGTGTAAAATGACAGAGTACCAAGTCTCTGATGCACGCCCAGATATACATATAACATCACAACCATGAATTCTGTTACAAGAATCAGAGTTATGTGTGGATTAATAGCCACACATGAAAATTCATCGAATCGTCTTATACACAATATCTCACTACGACCGTTTCAGTCACACGCACAACACTAACCATGGATTAACAGGATACTTATACACATGAAATCGAATAGAAATAACTGCAAAGATAACGAATGAATTTAACATGCAATTACTTTCAAACATTCAATCAAGCTCTATTAAAGAGTGGAATCTCAAATTTACACAAAAAAGATGTTTGAATTAGTTTAAAGAGTCCATTCAAACTAATCATACTAATAATTTTGAATGTATGAACTAACATGTTTGATTTATCAACATGCCTTAGTGAAAGAGTCCAAGTAGAAGATTCAGGACTGAATGCAATAATATTGTTTCGCAAGAAAGAGTTGTTTCAATATACTGAGAGTTTTCGAAGAGCTGTCGAGGCCTCTAAAAGATAAATCCCTCTCGATTCCTGAGAAACCCTGTATTTGTATTCTACTATAAATAGAATACAAATTAGTAAGGTATTCGTCATTCAAATGCTTTTTAAACCATATTTTCCAATCCCTGCTTGCAAACGATTTATGGAACAATTTAACAATTATGATCCTTCGCTCGGAATCGAAATGCATCCTGCTTTGTGTCGTTGCGATTCAACTGGAATTTTCGTCCATCGTTAGCGGACGTGTTTATTTCGCAAATCGTAATATTCTGTCAACTGGTCCAGGTATATTGTGCCTTCGATCTTTTTTGTTTTTCTCAAGGTAGTACCGTATTAGATCTGAATTAGGTGTCGTGTTTCCCAGCACGAATTTCCAACGGGTACTTCAAGTCTCGATTTTTTTAACCGGAATGGGAAGTGGCATCTTGTCTCCCTCGATGATCCGTCTATTTCTGTGTTGCAGAAGATACCAAGACACGTTTTCGTATACCACAAACGTGATCACAGTTGCCGGGACCACCCTGGTCAGGTTTGCACTCAACCCCTTGTAAAAGCCAAGGCACCCTTCATATCTGCAATTAACCACCAGTAATACGCTGTTGTTATTTGCTTCCTTTTTCTGGCAATCGGATTGTGTAGAACCTACAATATATTTTTTATCATTCGCACCAAAATTCGAACCGGCGTACGATTCTTGTCGTTTTGTAACGAAGCACGTTTACTATTAAATGAAACCAATTGCATCGTGTATACCAGTTAATATCGTACAATCCAAATAATTTTTTACGTCTGTTCAGTGTTCACCAATGAATTTTTGAAGAAATCGTAAATAGTTCGTGCAAATTAAAAACGAATAAAGCAGTTAAAAAATTCATAGATCAATTCTGTGTATAGTTTATTTCCCTTCTTCTGCATCACTCTGATGATACGTGGATACAAATAAAACGTATAATCGTATGTATTGCGTCCAAAAATCGTACTGCTGGTGATTTCGCAGCAATGATCCGTTTCGTCGCAATTATCTCCACATCATACACGTCCATACACACACGCGCACAAACACATTGCATTTCTTACATATCTTGTCGCGCTAATGCCTGTGATTCCGCCATGGCGCTTAATTTATATGTAAAAATATTCAAGAAAGAACGCGTTATGCGATGCGAAACTATGTCAAACGTGATCGCCGTATTTCGAAGAAAGATATCTGGAACTGGGAATTCAGTGACGCGTGTCCAAGATTCACTGTTTTCGTTCGTGCAAATATATTTCTTCGGCCGATTTCTATAACTCTTGCCGGCTATTGCGAAACGCAAATTCCGAGGATTGAGTTGCTCCAATGAAAAAAAAAAACGTACGAATAAATCAACAGACACTCGGACATTAAACAATTATCAAAGCGTTGCCATGTTTATTATTAAGTCGTTCATAGTTCTTTCAAAAACTCCGTATAAATAAATTCAACCTACTTATTAAATGTTACAGTGACATTGAATTTTATTGCTACACTTCGGTTGCTCCGAGTACCAGACTCTACAACATTCATCTAACATAGGTGGTTCGAAATGGGATGTACTTATTCATTGCATACAAGACATATGATTGCACGAATAACAATAAAATTGTAGACAATTATTACATTCCTACGCATACACTTGTCTCGTTATTCTTTTGCAATGAGATTTAGGATGGGCATGGTGACTTGCAAATCACGCGGGAATCCCGAAAAATTTTCATCTATTAGTGTACACATGGTCGCATTACAAAGGCAATATGCAGATACTATAAGTACACACGTAGCCCGTTGCTTATGCAACTATATGACTGTTTAAAATGTAAATTTAACTATTACACACTCCAACTTCCATCACATGCAATAAATTGCATTTTTTTACTAGTCAAATCTTTACACTGAAACAGGAATTCCAGAATAAACATTGCTCTTAATCAAGAGACGAAGATTATTAAGTAATATTAATCGGAACTATTAGATGCAATTTAATAATTTGAATACACGTCACATATATTATGAGTGTAAACCTGAATAAGAATTATTATAATATGAAAAATAATTAAGTTAGTTATCTTTACAATACATAAGTGTTCTTTTCGCACTTTACAAGGGCAAATAAAATTAGTTTGTACGCATAAGTTATGCTGAAATAATTCATATAAATTACTACTATCTCAAAAATCACATCGTATAATCCGAGAATATTTGAAATAGCATTTGCTCAGTACATATTTGTAGGTATATAATTGTTTTTAATTACGAAGTAAAATATTCGATCGTTAATATAAAAGAATCGTCTAATACAGACAATGTCCATAAAATAATAGATATATATTAAAGACTGTCTTCAACTTTTCCTAGTAAAGAAAATAGTACAGTGTTTATATCTTTCAAAAATAAATTTAAATCAGAATATTAAATTACATACCTATCTTACTAATCCCGCAACATTTGCAGCTTGATAACTTCATTAAAATTGTATTACTAATAACAGTAAACAATTCTCAATAGTATCCTCTCGCGTATACAATGAATTATTTTTGCAAACAAATCGTCAGAAATATTGTTCTCATTAAATGAATAGCTCTATCTTTCGTAACCACAAAGTATCACATTACACATGTTTTATTTCATTGATTATATTTACCGTTAAGCGACAACCTAAGTTTTGTAATTGAGTCATATCAATCTGAAGCAAGGATCGACATAACAGAAATATATACTTCAAAACTACACATGTTTTGTCTTGTACGAAAGTACATGTACGATAGAGTAGTAGCTTTTTCTAATAATACTGTTTCAAGATTACTCTCAACCAACGAAAAGTCTCCAATGCTTGGAATATAAGTTACGCTTAAATAAAATCAATCTGTTGATTGCTTCTATCAAGTTAGTGGACTATTTAGAACTAGGCAAATCCAATATCAAAACATAACTCGATTTCGATAAGTTACAAAACATTTAAATGAGACTAATATGTTCTTTTTTTTTCATTTCTACAATAAAAAATTAAATTAATATAATCTAAGAAGTCAATAAGAGTTTTACTAAGAAACATTAGAAAATGTTTCATAAATTACGATAACTAAACAAATATTTGGTGTAACATGTATTATGTATGGTGTTAAGCCTTTATAAAAACCCTTTATGCCTTCTGACCTCCATATCGTTCGTACACATTCTCTGCTGCCCGAGTAGTTATGATGATGATCTTGAAGTCGAGCTCTTACAACTTGAAAAGGATAAGTCGTAGCGGCAGCAATTAATTTTGAGATTGCCGCGAAGACTATGTATTCATATGTACTCTGCAAATAAAGACATTGCTTGTAGGTCAATCCGTTTTCGAATAATTCTTTTGTTTGGTTAATATTGAACTTACCAACTTATTGTCAATTGGAGAATTTAAATAACCATTGTACCAATTTTTCAGCTCTTCGTACACCATAAATTGAATGGCACCGTGTGAAACACCAAACATTCCAGGAATTAAACCCTGAAAAATTTCAATGAAGTTTATATTTAAATAATGTAATATTAATTACTAATCCGTTAATATTCCATTGCACAAATATTGAGTTTACTTACCCGGTACAAACCATGGATCCCTTCTGTTCTATAAATTTTTCTAATCGCATCTACTGTGCCTTTATATCGAAACTTTTCTGGAACATTGTTATCATCCTTATATTGCAAACACAACCGCGTTTTCACTACCCACAGTGGATTGGTTATAAGTAAGGTAAGAATGCCAGCATCTACTGCAGCGAACATATGCCAGGAAGGTCCCAAAGGTTTCCGATTATTTCCCGCTTGGATCCAACCTTTAATAGTGTTGAAGCTAAACAATAATAATTCACAGTCATCCAAAGTGTTCATTTCAAGATTAATCCCCTTGTAATAATTAAGATCAATGGAGATTCTTACAAAAAGAAATAGCAACCCCATGCACCACCGGATCCTAACACATTCGGTATTACACCTTTGTAAAGTCCTTGCACACCTTCGGTCTTAATAATTTGCATGACCGCGTTTCTGAGACCTTTATATTGTGGACCAGAATGCGTATGCCCATCGTTAACTGTAATAAGAAAAAAACAAACAATGAACATAACTGATTTTATTAAAAACAAGCTTTCAATTCATTTTTTAGTTGTTTGTATTTTTTCTAATTCGACGCACGATGATATTAAAATGGAGCCATGTGGATAAGCGAAATCTAATTATTCTGTTTCCTCCGATCGCGTGTCGTGGTTTATCGGTTGCTCTCTTTGCAAACGTCAGCGACGTGACCCTTTATTGTGCGACAAGCGCGTTTCATTTGGAATTAATGCTTTCTCAGTTTCCATTGAAAATTTGAACAAACATCAGCATATCAAATCGGTTACTTATTTACTAAGGACAACAAAAAAACAATACGGGCATAACTTTCTCAGAAGTCACTGATATTTATTAACACGCGATAAGTTATCTCTATATTACATATACATGCTAAAAGCAAAAACCTTCCAACACGATATACATATATTGTATGCTAAAAAAAAACTCTGAGTAACAATTGTAATTTATTGATGATGATTAGATTATGGCAAAACTAATATGTACATTTTCTTATACAACATAGAATATTTTTAACATTATTATTCCATAGAGGTAATTACAACGAGACTCGTGGTAGATCGGATCGTAAATTTTATCATACATTTTTCTGCGACGAGTAATTTTAATCGCGGAAGAACGCGTTAAAATTTCATAGTTCAACCTCACGTGCTACTGACGCAATCCGCTGAATTTCTTACTGTTTGGTGTACAGCCAACGAATTTTACGACGAAAATACGTCGACGGCGAGCCCTCCTTCATGACATAGTACACAGTCATCAGCATTTCAAGTAATAACAGAAGATTAAAAGCTACGGCAGATAAACTCGTTATAAAGTCGGTAGTATTGTTTCGTTGGTTCGTTATATACTCAAGTCTTTAGATATTACAAATAAATTATTACTTTATAGTAAATCAGACTCGCAATTTCTGTTTGATTAATATTACTTACTTTTTATTTCAAGCAATCTGTTAAAAGTAAATATGCATTCGATTAAACAACGAAAATAATTAAATAATATTACAAGAATCCTGTTATTCGCAAAATATTACATCAACATTTTTCCATGCAAACATTATACTCTTGTACCGTAACTCATCGGACAATTGACGTCACTGGATAGGAATATATTTCTTTGAAATGAATAAAATACGAAATATGATATACATATACGTATCCCGCGATGGTTATTCAAAGTATCTGTTCGTTAAATTTAAATATAAGAGAAAAAAAACAATAGAAAACTGCGAATACTGATTGTTATATTGTTGATATCAAATACCACTATTTATAATTCACGGTATTCATAATACAATACAAATTTCAATTTCTAATTATTCTTGTTCAATCAAACTGGAATATCTACTTTCCATTCTTAAATGTGAACGAAAGTCGACCTTTACTTTCCATTTCATCAGAAAACATGGCGGACCAACTCTGCTCTGTATCTAATTTGCTTTTTCCACGCGTTGAATTCGCAACGATCAATTACGTATTGATCGCTTCAATTTCATGTCTTTATCTTTCACACTTTCTGAATCAAAACACTTCTGAGTCACTTCTGAGTCCATAACAAAATTTTTCCATTTTAGTGCTAATTATTTTTATAAAATTTTGACTTTAGACAAAACAACTAGATAAGGTTATTAATTAAATGTCATCAATAAAGTAATTACTGTCACGATAAGGTACATACTTTGAGCTCTGATTGTAAGTTTAACAATATTAAATGATCGAAAAACACGTGCTGGGTCGCGAGCATAATTAATAGGACTCGACAAAGTAATTTTAAATCGTATTTAATCTTTATATTTTCGTGTAAAATTTACGAACGCCAATAAATTTAAAAATATCTCCCGCGTGAACAGTCAATGACTAGCGAGCATTCTGAGCCGGTCAAAAATACTTCTCGATCTTTCATGATAAACGCCACGTGTTTCTTCGGCCTGACCTTGTCTTTCAAACTCATACGATCGTTAACCCAAAACGTCACACATTCCTACCTACATAATAACAACGACTGTAAACTTCAACCAGCTCTCATTGTTCTTAAATATAACACTGAGTTAAAGTATATTTGCTTGTCGTTCGCACAGTAACAGTTAATAACACGTAACACTTTTAATTCAAGTACAGTTAAACAATGACTTATAGTCAATCCATCGTCCAACTTCTTGATAAGTCTTGAAAGCAATATTTCATAACAAAAAGTAAAAAATTCAAATGGAAACAGAAAACTGTTGCCAACGATTTTCATTTCAAAAACTGATGCGATTAAGAATCCAACTATCGCAATGTTTCTCTATTTAGTATCGCGTGAAAATATTCGCGTTCATCTAGTATAAATAACTGGATCATTCTGTAGATTATACAAAATTTCTCGTTATACATTTCACACACATTATCGCCTTACGCTACGAATTTTTTAGGGTAAATGTTACAAATAACTGATCCATATATATTAATCATAATCGTCAGAGATTTATCCTGTTGATAATTCGTAGACTAAGCGCACGTTATCGGTTAGTTTAGTATTTTCTCGAATGCGTACATTTTTATCTTGTTATTCTGTAATAATGAAAATTTTGATGTGTATGTGCCTTTGGTATGACAAAGATATAAAAAACCTCAAGGGGGTTGAGGGGCTTACAAATAAATAAGTTTAAAAATAATTCGAGAATTCCCTCCCTAAAAATTATAAATAGAAACAGAAATATTGCAGTTTTGACGATTGTTCAACATTTGTCAATTCATAATGAAATCGCTTGGACAGAATAAAATTCAGATAATAGAAATTTAATTAAAGCTCAAACCCCTATAGTCCCATTTCCTCCTTATATTCGCTACCGAATGTAAAGAACTAAACAAGAACAAAAAATAAATATTTCGGCATACCAGTAATCGATTTTATATACATATACTATTCGAAGGGAGGGGAGAAGCATTTCATCGGTACTATCCGGCACTGTAGTTTCGAATATCTGTTCTCGTAAAATTTTACTAGATTATTGATGTAAGTCCCGAGCAGAGGAAGAAGTCAAAGCAGTGAGTCACACAGATGAGCAGAAACAAACAGACTCATGCCAGAGTTTTCCGTGACAAGCAACAAGTGCGTAAGTATGCATCGTGGTGCGTAACACCACGTGCATATCAAGGAGATCGAACACGTATCCGCCATTTTCGTCAAACCATTATGTCGTCAGCGACGACGAGCTCGACAAAGTGCTTACCTGCGAATCTAGTCTTGATCAGGTCTAACGGGTGCAGTATTAACGTAGCCGTCACGCCACCGGATATGCCGCCCACAAAATGCTCATATCTCACGTAATTCAGCACAGGTATAGAGGTGGTCCCCGGCGGACCGCCGTTGGTCTTAATCGGCGACATTTTCTCTGTGACAGGCTGTTGCTGCTGCTCGTTCGTTACCGATTTGCCAGAGGAAAATCCAGTGGCATCCTTTGTGATGTTAACAACGTTCGACTCCACTGTTCGGCATATCTCTTGATCCGCGGCAGGCAATGCGATTTCTTCGACGGGAGCGCGAGACACGACTGAAAACGTACGCGACGCGAGTTTCCTCCGTCTTGCTTACACTTTTAAACGATTACGCAACGCGTCAAAATGTTATATACACCGAACTTACCATACCAAGCAGCTAACTGACTGACTAACGGTTCGACTGACCGCACCGAATGCTATGCGCGAGTTCACTAAATGCGTAACTATCGAGCGCGACCGCCCTCAAGCGGGAAATCCGATAAGTAAGTTTCTCTTCGTGGCAAATTCAATTCGAATTACGATTTAAGCGTCACTTTCTGTTCGTAAATAGAGAAACACCGTAAAGTAGATTCTTGATTATTACAGGAAATCAGGGCTGAAAATTTCAGCAATAATTGACGTTTCTACAATAATGTAAGTAATTAATCCAATTAGAAGTTGTCTCACACACCGTATTCAAACTACTTGTGCCCCATGAGTAACGTCTCCAATCTTATTTATTGCTTAGCAGCAAACCCTTCCATTTGTCGATATTAAACTATCAGCAAGCCTCTCATGCAATCATTGAAATTCTATTGTATTGTTCTAGAACAGTGATTCTCAATAGATATCATATATCATTCAGAGAACAACAGTTCTGACGAAAGGGGGAGGGAGAACTAAGAAATTTATAAATGGAGAGCCACAAAACATATTATTAAAATAATATAACAATACTATAGATAAATAAATATACGGCATCACATTTCAAGGATATTTAATTAAACTGTAGAATAATTTACAGCTTAAGCTATATTCACAAATAGGAAAGGAAAACTCTGAATTAGTAGTAAAATTGAAAAGACTACTTTACCACTATAAAGGAAAGTACAATTGTTCTTCATCAGATCTCCCATTTTTTATTTGATTAAATCTGGTTTCAATATTGACATACCACTGGCATTAGCATTATCCGATGTACATACAACAATGCGACCGAGAATTCGAAGCCTACGATCCTTAGAAATGCTATGACACATATGTATGTACATTCAGACTAAATTGGCTCTTCTTACAGCTACCATGATGTGTAAAGTCCGACCATTCAATTTTCCCGTGGAGTATGTACATCGAATAATGCTAAACAAGAATAAAGATTATATTTACAAACAAAGTTACAATTGTTGAAAATTTGTGAACTTATATGATTAGTTTGAGATTACAGAAAAAAATAAAAAATCAATTTCTCTGGTCAATTTCAATGACTTTTGGATGTGCTATAAAGGACAAGATTTGCAACAACTTTCTTCTTTCAAAATATTTGCAAAATACTTTTGCTAACACTATACTGACAATGAATTCGACTTATATCTACATACAGTACATACGTATGCGATTGCAGCAATGTGTACGACAGTGTCTGGAGATCGCTTATCTATTGTTTATTGAAAAGGGATGTTGGGTATGGTTACCACTTAGGTGTGTGAATGGATAGATGGAGTCGTATATTAATCACGTGTTAACATAATTCTTGAGAAAAATATAAAGTATCATATAACAAAATTAATGGGAATAAAATTTTTGTGTCGTAAATCCAGGTGTCTGAAAAGTCTCGAAAGTCTCAAAAGTTTGCTTTAATCCAGGTTAATAACTCATTTGGTCCCGCGCTCGACGTTCTGTCACGAGTGCTTAATGTGCCTAAGTTCGCTTAGGTGCAGCTCACTATCAGTAATTTTAACAGTGTAAAGCGGGCGCCGATGCACAGCATCCGTTAGTCGGATTCAATTTTTACACGTTTAACGAATCTATTAATATGTGCTTTCTGTCTATTTAAAAAAAAGAGGTAAGTGATAGTTCGAAACCTGGACTCATCAGGTAAGGTCAAAAACATCGGCGCTCCCATACTATATTAATATAATAGAGCTACTGTATTCGTGCATACATACTTCAATAATTTGTAAAAAATCGTAATTATAACAAAAACGAATAATTTTAATCATCGCATCGATGTGTAGCGTTTAAAGAATTTGTTATTTGGCGCTTGAAAATGCTATTTCTGCACAGTACGTAGATCAAAAGCAAGATATCATTTTGTGTACTATATTTATCACAACTTATCTTTGGTGTATTTCTAAAGTGTCTTCAAACATCCATTGTTTCAAGCATACAAAAAGAATTTCTTTTAGTCAATACAGTAGGTATAATTGAAAAATTTTCTTTTTTTATTCTTTATTTAAGAACTTATTGTACACGAACTATTAATGCTTTTCCTTAAATATGAAATGTTACGAATCGATAATGTTTAAAGAACGAACCAGTTCTGATTTTTTTGTTATCTATAAATATCGCGGAAAAGGTGTTCCCGACAACCGCAAACCCTGTTCGATAAGTACGTAAAGTGCTTATCTTTTCGATTTCTGATAGATTGTAACGTGTATTAGTGTTCGTCGATGAACGGATAAAAAATTTGTTATCCCATGTCACGATAGAATATCTCAGTTGGCATTCTCGTTTGCCTTATACTAGTAGTTTAGTGAATTGATCGATTCACATGGGTATAGTTTTTACCAAATGAATCGTTTAAAAAGAGTTAATTCGACTAAGTGCAGTTAAATAGTCATCAGTGATGTTATATTAAATTTGACAATTAGTAATCCAATTATATTTGCTGTCGAGTTTTTGGAGCTCCAAGCTTAAAATTCTTCTATGACATCAATTTGCGTAACAGTAACGATAAAATTAATTTCTCGAAATTTGAAATTCGGTGTTTAGTTTCAATAACAGTGAACACAAAGTGACCAATTTCAAACTTCTCATTCAGCAAATATAAACATAAATAAAGAAAGCAGCTGGTTCTAAAAGAGAAGAATCCTTTCTCTGTAACTTTTACAAACTATGATTCAAACGGTAAATTTTATTAAAATATTAAATACATATACATATATACAAGGTGTACGCGTTAAGATTTGTCACCAGTTTTTAGGCATTTCCGGTAGTGCAATTAAAAAATGTCTCAAACAAAATTTTTTTAGTATTTCATGGGCTACATGTTCCCATACTGTTAAATCTCAAAAAATGTTTTTTACGTAAAAAAATCAAGATCACTTTGTCTTTTTTAAATAGCACCACCTAGAGAAACAACGAAAAGGTAACCTTGACTTTTTTACGTAAACAGAATCTTTTGAGATTTAAGAATATGGGAGCAAGTAGCCCATAAAGTACCAAAAAAATTTTGTCTGAAACATTTTTTAATTGCTCTACCAGAAATGCCAGAAACTGGTGACAAAACTTAACGCATACACCCTGTATAGCGTTAAGAGATTTTTGTTACATTAAAATCATTTCAACGTCTATTGCACTTCACCTTTACAAACTCTGTTAAACATTTTCTAAGAATAAATTTAAACATCGATAATTTACGTTAAAGTATTGTTTACCACGCTACATGATTTAAAAAACTTAACATTATTTATGAATCGAAATTAAAAATGTATGTGTAGTACCGTGCACGGCAGTACATTCAGGTTTACTCACATTTAATTGATTCAAGGTTGAATAAATCAATTGCAAGTCAGGTTCTATAATGCATTCAATGCACCACAAAAAAATCAATTCAATGCTACGCCCCGATATCGTTAGTTGCGTTTAGTTAGGAAACACTAAACACGATTACGGTTGCCATTTTTATATGGATGTTACATAAAAGAATTATTACTTTAAATAAACAGTAGATTTTTATTTGATATAAAATTTAAAAACTACGTGGGAAATAGATTCTGTTACAAAGAACGTTGGTTTATGCAATATTACATCACATACCATTATGGCTGGTACAACTTCAATTAGCATCCCGATATTTTTTTAATCGCGATAAATTTTTAAAAACAGTGTCTTTCATACAATATTAGTATTACTATACAAGGACGACCACATCGCATCAGGAAGTCTGATGTTGTAGGTGCAACAGTCTCGTTGAATCTATATGCACTGTATTGACTATTAGCACCATTTGCCTAGAAAGATCTCAAGTTCAGTTATACTTTGCACATCGTATAGTTGTTTGCTGTTGTTGCGATAGCTAAAAATATTTTCGACGAACCGTTAACGCTGTGAAGAAAAAAAATGCAATGTGGAATTTTTTCGATGGAAGGATTTTCTCGTACCACAAAAAGTCGCATGCAAAATACTTATGTCTCTCGGTGAGTCAGTTTCTGCGCAATAAAAATATTTAAGATGAAAATAATTGAAAACAAAAAGTAGAAGACAAATTATCTATTTCACAAGGAGCAATTCTGATAACTTACACATTCAATCGTGTTGTCATTTCGTTGCGTCATGCACTTCCTGCCATATTTTTAATATCCTGCAGCAGTATGTCTTTGAATTTGAATTACCTGTGGATCAGTCAAGTTTCATAGCGACCGACATCAGATCGCTGTACTCGTTTGCGTGAATAATTTTGCTGCCAGTTGATGGAGCAGCTGACGGTGGTCGACCACCATACATAACGTCTTCTAGACGAAGTCCCAGAGCTAGAGCTATCCTGTCCCTCACGTAGAGATAGGCGCCCTGATTTTTGTGATCTTCTTGCAACCACATGATCTAAACACACGATACATGTACAGTCCAAGCTACTCCAAGGAGACTATAAAACAGTTTACTATATCCAGTCGACGATTAACTTCCTGTACCTTAGCGTTCGGGTATTTCTCTACTTCCTGTTTGAGAAAATGATACGGGAACGGGCACAGTTGTTCGATACGAATTATCGCTATTTTATCTTCCATTTGTTTCTCTTGGCGTTCTGTTACCAGATCGTAAAACACCTTCCCGCTGCAAAGTAATATCTTCTGTACGTTGCCCGACTTGACGAGCGAGTCTGAGATAACAGGCTTGAACGAAGTATCAGGTTCCATTTCTTCGAAAGAAGATAAAGCCATTGGATGACGGAGCAGGGATTTAGGTGACATTACAACCTAATTGGACGAACAAACAGACACAATTACAGTGGAAATTGTTTTTAGTAACGTTTCGTCGCGATACATTTGAATTTGTAGTTTGTCGTACTGATGACTTCGAGATATCGTTATGTTAAAAAAATATCACATGATTTTCACGGTCTTCCAAACTACTTTACACCTGATCAAAGGTATTAATATTAGATCTAACCAGTGGTTTTCGAAACGGCATATGGATTTGACGCCGCAGAGCGTGGAATAAGTTCGCTGGAGTGGTCAAGTTGCAAACAATCCAGTTTATCTCAAACAGCTGCCGTGTCATGATCTGTTCCGGGGTTTCCCCTTGCGGAGCTCCTGGCTCCGTGCCCGGGATATGAGTCCAATCATCGTCGCACAATTGAAGACATCGTTCGAGCCTCGCGGACGAATGCTCCGGTCCTTGACCTTCCATTCCATGCGGCAGAAGGAGTACCAATCCGACTTGCCTACCCCATTTCGATTGCCCGGAACAGAGAAGAGTATCTAGAGTAACCTACGGATTATTTTATTCGAACATTCTTCTTTCAACACTATTCTACGCCTCCACGTTTCTATAACACGTTGTTCCAATCGTTTCTGACCAACGTCACTATAATTCGTATGATAATACAGACAAATAATTCAGATACAGATCGGTCGTGAATTAAATTTTATATTTACGAAATTGCGTCTCCCAAGTAATCACTATCGTATGTAATCAAAATGGTTACTTCCTCGTGAAAGTAACGAAAGATATCGTTCAAGTATCGATAACCGAGCTAAAACGGCTGTTTTGTGCAATACCAATAACTGTTTGTGTAAATATACTGAAAAACGATTACCTGACAAGTGTTCGCGAAATCACCAAACTGAGCTTCCCATATTGTCAACGTATTATGATTATAGGCCGAGTACCCTAACTCGAATCCTGTGTGCACGATCAACAGTCATTTATCTAATTCCTTACCGTGTGATCATCATTATTATTTCCTAAGAAACTCACCGCAGACACCGTACTCCGATAACGAAGAGTTCGATACGGTGTATAGAGCTTGTCCGGGGAACACGTCGTGGAGAATATTTTTGTAGACTTTGTCCCTGCTCTGATCGTGGATGATGTGTATGCGGTGCGAGAAAGTACCTCGCTCGACATCCTCGCCGGATAATCTCACGTGGTGACCTTCTTTCAGCAAACTGAGAAACGCTAGACATTCACCCATCGCCCAGTCCGCCTTGCGAGCTTCCATCAGCTGTGCTCGTTTGTCCATTACCCTCAACACCTTCGTTTCGAAAATTTACTTGGTTGAATAATTTTGAACTCTCGAAAGTCTTAATAAGTCTTGAATGTATTGAATATCTGGAGTCTCGATGGTTTCGATAGATTTGAAAGCGTTACAAGTTTCGATAACAGTTGTATAATACAGATTTAAACATGGAATGTTATCTCAATATTAAGTTAGTGTACTTGAAACAATGAAAGATTTTTTAATTTTACTTCGAACGGAAGTCGAGAAATAAATACCGCTTGGTTGAACACATACTTGACCGTGCGACTCGATATCTTTAGGAGGCGTAGATATGGCTTTGCAAATCGTCTTGATCGTTTCTGTATCGATACCAGTTGGCGGTATGCGAGCCTGTGGACTTTGACTAGCGAAAAACTCGGACCACGGTACGTCGTGCCAGTCGCTCATATTCATCGAGTCTATCTCCTGCGCTTTCGCGAATTCTGACTCGCAGTGGTTCCAATACTTCTGTATTTCCTAGAAACGAGCATGAATCTGCAACATCGTTTGCACGAGCGCCAAACGAAACGATGCTGCGTCGTATTTCTTATGTACTTCTTGGGCGAACGCCTCCGTAATCACTCCCTCCTTCAAGAGTTTGTCGCTGTAAATAGTGAGCACGTTCGGGTGTTCCTTTATACGCTTGTACATCAAGGGTTGAGTGAGCATTGGTTCGTCCAGTTCGTTGTGGCCGAATCGTCGATATCCTACGACGTCTATGACGACGTCATTGTGGAATTCTGCTCTGTTGGATTAATGTTACAGGGGATGATTCTTTTATCAAGAACTCTAACTATTAGAACCAAAATAAAAAAAATGTTATAGGATGACAACTATTTTCTCAACTAAAATGTTTTTAGTCGGGCACAACAGCTGCGAGTGGTCGAAATTTTGTTCCGTTGCCAATAACTATTATCAACTAGGGAAATTTATTTCGGTTGCTCATAACAGTTGTACTAAAATGATCCGTTTTACTCAACATAAGTAACAATGTTCATAAAATGTTTTATGTATGGAAGCGTTTATCTCGAGGACTTACATTTCCGACTCATCGATAGGAGCTACACAAATAAATGGATCAACGTAAAATTACGATAATACCGTATTTCGCGAATGAAATCGTTAATGAATGAACAACAATTATATGTCGAAGAAACGTCAGAGATTGACAAAATTTGTATCCGGAAACCTTTCGAGTCGAAAAGAAAAATATCACATGCATTTTATAGGATGCGACGTACTCGATATCGGTCAACGAGATCGTATAAAGCCATCGAAGACTTTCTTAAAGAAAACCGTAACGAACTCGTCAACGGTAACATCGCGAAAGAAAAGTCCGTGTGCATCGAAAAAATCAAGAACCGCAGAGTCTACCTATATTCGCTGGCAACTTTACTGCAGTAGGCCACCAAGTCGGGGTTATCGCCGTGTATGTGGAATATAGGAGCGTTCACAACACGTGCTACATCGGTACAATGCGCGCTGGATCTGGAGTACCTCGGATCGGTAGTGAAACCAATCTGCAATACATAAAAAATTGTTCTTTACACGATAGTCCAGTTACGTTTGGATCACGAAACGCTTCAAAATTCACCTGATTGTTAATAACGACGTGCATAACACCACCGGTTGTGTACTCTGGTAGATCCGTTAGATGCATGGTTTCGTAAACAATACCTTGGCCCGAAAATGCAGCATCGCCGTGAACCAAAATAGCTAGTGATTTCTTACCCACTAAAAAGAATGAATTTTCAACCATCACTTTCTGAAGTTTCTCGAAAGTATTTATTAGCTGAGGTCTCCTCTCTATTAATCTTTCATAATAATCAGCAATGGTCTGTATACATACGCTTGGCATCGTTTTTCTCCACTTGTTCTGCACGAATGCGACCAACAATCACTGGATCGATCGCTTCCAAATGCGAAGGATTAGCCATTACGGCGCATAGAATCTTTTTGTTGCTTCTGTGGATTCAGAAAGACATCAAAATCAAGGTGACAATCTCCAAGAGATTTACCTCTCTAGTATTTTCTCTGTGTGCATTCCTAAATGGTACTTCACATCACCGGAACCAAAACCCTCCAAAGGAATCGGATTGAATTGAGTGAGCAATTGGTGCAGCGGTTTCGAGCAAACGTTGATCAAGGTGTTCAGTCGACCACGATGAGCCATGCCTATCGCAAAACTTTCTACCCCTACAAAAATGTTCCATTATATGTCTCACCTGCCTTCGAAAGGAACGAACGCTTGAAACACGTTGGGAAGTTCTACCTTTTTCGGCCGAGATTTCTAAGCATTCCACCATCGATGGAATGAAAGACTCGCAACCCTCTAGGCCAAACCTCTTCTCTGTGGGATACTTCCTGGCTAGAAACCCTTCGAACGTTACTGCTCTCATGATATCCATCCAAATAAACTTTCTGTGTTGCTCAGGCAGCTCCCAAGCGCCGGGGACCTCGAACTTTTCCCTCAGCCAGTCTAACTAAAAGATATTCCGGCTTGTGAAAAGCATAATTGTATCGATAACCGCGAGTTGTGGGATGTATTACTCGAAACAATCAGCTCCTACCATCCCGTTGTCGTGAATGTAAGTGTACTCGAGACCCAAATGTCCGCAGTAAACTTCGTTCAACCTAGTTAGTATATCGCGCAAGGGAAGACTTCGTTTAGGGCCGCCGATTACGGTGAACGGTGCAAGCGGAAACTCTTTGTTCATGTCAGCTTCCGTCATGCCCTTTAAATGTTCTCGTACGACGATCGCTGGTGGCAAATTCGGAGTTCCTTGAAGCTTATGAGATTCCGGATTCTGTATACCCAACGGATCAATGTCGGCTATCAAATGACCACGTGCCTTGAACAAATAGAACAGAAGATTGATTCAGGCAACCCAATCGAGGAGAACCTGAGCAACAGGTCCGGGCCTTGATCCGACTTGATATACCTGATAAGCTCTAATCGTAGCGTTGATGTCCAATGCCCCGCTTATAAATTGATCACCTTGCAGCTCGCTGTCCGATTTTTGTCTCAAGCTCTGCTGGGGGAAATCCGACGATGCTACTCGAAAGTAAAAAAGCAAATGAAAGTCTATATTGTCAATATTTCGAAGACAAATCCACCTGTCTGCGGGGTCGTTAAGTTAGACGGTACGACCGAAGGTGATGATTCGACGCGAGCAGTCGGAGGTTTCGCGATCGTCGACACAGACGGTTTGTCCCCGTAGACGAAGTCGAAGAACAGGCTCCACGAAGGGCTCACGGACGTTGGGTCCTTCAGCCACTGCCGATAGATGTACTCCAAGTACTGGCTGTTGCTCGTGTTGAGCAAGTTGTTGAATCTATCATAGCCGTCGTGCTTTACGCGCTTGAAACACTTCCGTGGCTCGGAAGTCGCGAGGAGGAGCCGTTTAGAAGCTTGCGTTTTAACGTTACGACGGTACAGACGCTGAACGAGGCGTAAGTTCGTGTACATGTCCCCATTTATTTCTACGCACGTACCAAGTATCGTAGAACGAGAGATTGCTCACGGAATTTTTCGTGTACAATTCGAACAAATTACGTTGAGTTTTCTTCGTACCAAGCGTCATGTCATCGTGACATTTGACTGCTCCGATGGTCGCGCTTGCGACGATCTTCCGATGACATTTAACAAGCGGGTGGCGCGTTGAAATTTCGATTCTGTCGCGGTGAGAAACAACTGAATCGATTCGTACCGGCGCAACTTTCCTCGCCTTTCGCGGTGCAACTCTGAAATAACGTTCGTACAGAATTCATTTTTGTACAGAAATGTTCGTGGCAGACGTCAGTAGCTTGACGCTGGGAGACAAGGTTCCTTAAACTGTCGTCTTTGGAGTAGAGAGGAAGTTACAATGAATCACGTCACGCAACCCTTGGACGATTTAATTAACCTCCCTTACATAGAATTGCAAAAGAACTTACAATCAATCGGAGCAAGGCTGCTGCGATTCTTTCGTAAAACTTTTCTGAAATCAAGACAACTGATCCGTGTACCGGTTCTACTGCGAACCGATTACATCTACTCCCTTGCAGTGCTCTTTTGGGAAGCAAGTTGGCAAAAGTTTATTACTCAATAACATTAACCCTTACGTTCTTTATTGATTAACATTTTTATTAAAATATGACAGACTGGCCACGAGTAGCCGCGTCCTTGACATCTTATCGTTAGTCTCGCTAATTGTACCACAGATGAAACACGTGATTTCCACTGAAGAGTTAACGTTAAACCGAGCATATTTTAAAAATTGCTTTGCCGAACCTCGTGTTTTATTGAAAACATTTCTTTTTATAAAATTCAATTTACTTTCGGTACGATAAAATTATTTAAAAATGTAAAAAAAAACCTTAATTCGACCCTAGAAACACATAGAGATTCTCTAAACTAACTAGACCTAATATCCATCTGTTTTTATAACATACGTAATTAACTTGTAGATAAAATCATGCAAAATGAAAATAATCGTTAATGCAATCTTGATAGTCTCTCGTATTAATTCATCTGTATGTTTATAGGGTAGCTCAACTTCCACATACACAGACCATAGGATTATAATTATCAGTCCGGACAATAATCCGTCGAAAACAGTATTTCCAACTAATCGTATCGTATCAAAGAGGGTATGTATAAATTATATTTGTCAACTCTAGTGTCTAAATTGCTTCAAACGAAACTATTTCTTTTATAGTATACGATCTGGAACTTTATACCGAAGAATCTCTTTGAACAGTTCAGACGAATTGCGAACATGTATTTTCTCATATCGGCATTGATATCTGCCATGATAGTGTCCCCTATTTCACCTTGGACTAGTGCTTTACCTTTGAGCTTCGTCGTATTCGTGACCGCGTGCAAACAAGGATACGAGGACTACCTTCGACACGTAGTGGACAAACGTATGAATCGGGCAATGGTCACCGTAATCCGTAATAAATGCTTACAGGTCAGTACACGCGCTTAAAATCGTTGTAAACCAATACATCCTTATCAGAATACTGTCTCAAAGCTGAAAATTGCAACATGGGCTCTACTTGTACGGCGATACGCGTGTTCCTGCCGCCATTTTGATACGCTATCAGTAGCATGTACCAACAACCTGTATCTTCACATTTTATTATTGCTATCGATTTATAATAACCCCTATCAATTATTCGCGACATATTCGTATCTTTATCTTTCCACTGTTTATTTTACTGCACTTCCATCTGTTGCGTTTCACCGCAGTTCTGCGTCACATTTATTTGCAACAAGTTTTGCAATAATCTTCGTTTTATGCGTACAGACCATTCACCGCCAACAAATAGTAGTTGGCGACCTGGTGAAGGTTGTTCGGGACGAGGACTTACCCTGCGATCTCTTGCTTCTCTCCAGCTCAGAAAACTCGGATCGTTGTTACGTCACCACATCCAATCTTGACGGTGAAACGAATTTAAAGGTAACGCGATTAACATAACACGAGGAAGGTGTGCAAATTTTGTTAATTGTTACTTGTTTAGACGTTAATGGTTCCGAAGGTGCTTTCGGACGTGTTAGAATCGCAAATAGTGTCCATGGAGGCCAGTGTCATCTGTCAACATCCTTCGTCCGATCTCTACAGCTTCCACGGCAAGCTGGAAATTAATAACGGCGAGAATGATCCAGCCAGCGGACATTTGACGATCGACAATCTATTGCTCCGAGGATCCAGACTGAAAGACACTGATCACATTATCGGGTGCGCGGTTTACACAGGCCAGGATACAAAACTGTCCCTTAATTCGAAGATCAGAAGCAACAAATTCTCCACCATCGAAAAGTAAGCGCTTTTTAACAAGCGAATACTTTCCCTGACGATATGGCGTTTTCATCCTCTAACGAAACTTACAATTACAGGAGCATCAATAAGTACATCATCGGATACATGATACTGCTTGTGATCGAAGTAATAGAATCTTGCATGATGAAAATTGTGATAGGCTCAACGGCGAACTGGAAATCCTACATCGGTACCAGTGACGATATTACCTTCTCCTCGCTGATCAATGACTTTTTTGGCTTCACGATCCTATATAACTACATTGTGCCCATATCGTTATATGTCACCATAGGTAAGAATTATTTCACACATCGTAAACTCTCCACTGTTTTCCCTCTTCGTACCTATTCCGGAATCTGTTGCACGATATCGAATTACTTCGCGCCTCGATCAGAATTCTTTAATTTCGCGAACGCTCGTATCGTTGAAAAAAGAAAAGGACGTAGCCACCGTAACCGCGACTCGAATGTAAAGAATTTAATCGTGTCTGAGAAAGAACGGCATTTGTCAAGCTACGATCAATTGTTCTCGTTACAGAATTACAAAAATTCCTCAGTTCGTTTTTCTTCAGCTGGGATATCGATATGTACGACCCAAGCACCGATCAACCTGCATTGGCTAACACGTCGGACTTGAACGAGGAACTCGGTCAGGTCGAGTACCTGTTCACTGACAAGACCGGTACGCTTACTGAAAATCTGATGGTGTTCAGACGTTGTTCGATCAACGGGAAAACATACATGGAAAAGGATTGCGACGGGTTTCTGTATCAGTTGCCTGCTAGCGGACGCGAAGAGGAAGCCAAGAAGCTAACGGCATGGGAGGTGAGCCAAACTTATACCTAAATAAGATCGATGATCTTGCAATTATAATTTGCTTTCCGTTAAATCAAAATCTAACGATTGAAAAAAATAAGTCTGATAATTCTGATTGCAGCCAAGCATCTGGCACTTCATGATAAGCATCTCTCTGTGCCACTCGGTTCAAATCACACCTCCGAGTCAAAAGCTAAGCGTCATTGCTAGACGCACAGAGTTTCGTGAGAGCTTCAGACAAAAGAAGATTCTGCAAGTGCACAGTTCCCTATTGATGGATCCGGATCTGCCGGAGTACCAGGTAGAAAGTCTCTGTTTTACATAAACAGCGTTGCGTAAACTCGCTGCGGTGCTTATTTTTATCTCCGATGTACGCCGATAAACAACAGCTGACGGTAGATTCGCGTGACAAATTTTACTAACGCGGTACGATGACGTTAGATATCCAGTTAAATAGGAATATCAATACTTTATTTGTGCCCAGTCTAGTTTAAGCGACGCTCGCGAGGTGCAAAGTAGCCGTAAAAATACATTATTTTACAGGCAACATCGGCAGACGAAAAGGCTTTGGTTGAAGCCAGCGCCAGATGCGGAATCGTTTTTCAAAATGCCACCAGCGACATAATAGAACTTAATGTTCGTGACACCTTGATGACCTTTAAAAAGCTAGAAGTTTTGGAATTCACTTCCGGTATGTATTCGAACGAACGACTTCCAGCCATACTGAACATCTTCCATAACTTTATTAGAAAATTTATAATATGACTAGTAATAGCGTCAATATCCTATGTATGCATTCGCTCTGTAATCTTCTTCTATCGTCAAAAAACTATTCGCACATGCTGATAAGTTTACACAAATTAATTTGTGTTTCGTAGACTGACCCAAGCAAGTCTTGACTTAAACGCCACTAAGTTTCACAAAATTAATTAACATTCCCTTCAACAGAACGTAAGAGAATGTCGATAATAGTGAAAGATAGTGCTGATGATTACTGGTTGTACTGCAAAGGAGCGGATTCTGCAATTCTGCCGCTAATAGTCTCGGGACTGACTAACGAAACCATCACTCACGTAGCCGATTTCTCCATGGTTCGTACATCAGCTTGCCACTAACTGACATCGTTTCTTTCTGACTTTGTCCTTTTTGCTAATTTAAACTCGATTAAAAAGAGCACGTCTTGCAGAGAGGATTTCGAACTCTGGTCATTGCATACAAGAAGATGGATCAGGCACAGTTCGAGGAACTGAGGCAGAAAGTGGAACAAGCCAGACAAGTAATTGGCATCGACCGAGCAGCGTACATGAAGAGAGCTTACAATCAGATGGAAAGCGGTCTCACTCTGCTAGGTGTGACTGCGGTCGAAGATCGCCTTCAGGAAGGCGTACAAGACACGCTTGAGTGTCTACGAGTCGCTGGCATTAAGGTTAAAGATTATATCATAATAGTTTCTTACTGTAATTTGAAATTAGACCGGGATCGGCTTCTTTTCTTTGATCCTTAACGACGGTTAAATTGATTGGCGATGTTTAGATATGGGTGTTGACCGGAGACAAAGCAGAAACCGCTGAGAATATAGCCTTCCTCTGTGGACAATTCAAAGAGGGTACCGAAATATTGAGATTGTTAGAAATATCCATCGACCAAACTTGCTTTCATCGTGTTATGGATTTTGAGTGGGTACAATTTGCTGCTCTTCCATATCGTAATTCGATATCTAATCGGTACTTCTATTGTAAGTGATGTAATATAGATACAACGTACCTTGACCACACTTTTTTTCAATTCCAGACGAAGGATAAAGCTCGAACCTTACAAACAATACGGACTGTTGGTCGATGGTAGTAGCATAGCAGTCGCATTGAGAACATGCTTGGAAGAATTTCGATTCGTGGGAATGGCCTGTGAGGCGGTAGTTTGTTGCCGGTTGACGCCTCTGCAAAAGAGCGAAGTTGGTTACATGTTTTTGCAAATAATTTTTACGTGTAATTTTATACACAATGACTCTTGATGGTTACTATGCAGATCGTGAGGATGGTTAAAGAAGAAAGGACTCAACCGCACACGGCTGCCATTGGCGACGGGGGTAACGATGTCGCGATGATACAGGAGGCGCACGTTGGAATTGGCATAATGGGTAAAGAAGGCCGCCAAGCGACCATGAGTTCCGATTTCGCGATAGCGAAATTTAGATTTTTGAAGAAGGCATTACTGGTGCACGGACACTGGTTTTACATGCGAATCAGCACTTTGACGTTGTATTTCTTTTACAAGAACATTCTGTTCATAACGCCACAAGTGCTGTTTGGCTTTCACAGCGGTTTTTCTGGCCAGGTGGGAACCCAATCTGCAAACAAATATCATAAAAATTATTTCTCAGCTCTTCAGTATTAATTTCATAATCTTTTCAAGTTCATTCAATAATGTATTTACAGGCATTTTACGACGGTATGTTTTTAATGCTTTACAATGTACTATTTACGTCTCTACCAATACTGACGTACGGATTGTTTGAGCAAGATTATAGCGCTAATACGCTGCTGCATTATCCCTATATGTATAAAATGTATAAAAGAAATTATTTATTGTCGGGGAAACAGTTCTTTATATGGACATTACTAGGTGAACAAAATAATTGTTGATTTGAGTGAAGTAAATTCAATACGAACTTATCATTACTGAATATTATTTATACCTCTCTTCAGGTTTCTGGCATACCTCAGTCATATATAGTATGACGTACTATTGCATACAGACCAATCCTATTGCTTTGTACAATAATACACCGGTAGACCAATGGACGTTCAGTACATATGTTATTCATTTAGTTACAATAGTAGCCAATGTACAGGTAAACGAATGATTAAGATTAAAATTCCAACATCCAGGATTACAGACACGACCTAAAGAAAACGTATCAGTCTATTATAATTTTCAGATACTATTTCGCAGTTCGTATTTAACGAAGCCGTTCCTGTTAGCAGTGGTATTATCACAATTAGCGTTTTGCGCATTCGCGATTGGATATTCATTCGTGAACAAGTAAGCAGTAAAAATAAGACAAAACGTAAAAAACTTTTGTAAAAAAAAAGAATACTATTGACACCTGCCAGCTTAAATCGCATCAGCCGTGAGGTATCGAGTTCTTTGCTAAAAAAGATTTTATTTCTAATTTCAGAAGGTACGATGGCGACATGCTAATGATCTACCCGATGATATTATCATCGATGACCTTCTGGTTGATGACCATAGTTATTGTCATCCTTTGTCTACTTCCCGATTGTTTAATTCTCAGATACAACAGATACAGATCTGCTCGTGTAGCGAGACGAAACGAGGAACATCCACGTCATGTTATCGTCAACGCTAACAATACCAGAGAAACTATACCGTTGCAAATACGGGTAATTTATCAAATATATACGATATAATTCAGTACGGTATGATTCAGTCGAATATCACGTTTCTATTTATTATTGGTTTACAGAATCGAAGCTTCTTCCGTATAGTGCCATGGGTGGGCATCATGCGAAGGAAGACTGTGTAAAATATAATCATAAGGAATAGATTTCGTTGTGTCATTATCAAGTTAGCAAATCATACCACGTCACGTCCGAAACTGTAAGTCGTCCATTGATTCATACACCGATCAACCTTTGTAAATATATTTATTTTTGCGTTTCCATTTATTACGACGCATGGAATAAAATATGGGATTTATCAATCGCAGTTTGAATCAGTCTGTACGAACAAATCGCAAGGCTACGAGGCCCTAAATACGTTCTATAGTTTCTTAATGGGAAAAGTAATCCCTTTTACGTCGGGGATATGTATAAAATTTTAGGAACGTGTTATGTAGTAAAAAAATTCATATGCATTTTTTTAACGATTGTCCTATTAGATCTTATTTACCGAGAAAGGAAATATTTAAACGCTTTTCGTAACTGTCGTTTCGCATTCGTAACTCGTCATCAAATACGATAAGGAAAACAATTCATGTTTTGAATGTAATTAATGATAATACATTTTTTATTATAAATAAGATACATTTCATTACAAGAATAATGCTTTCAATTAATTTTTTTCTAAAAAAACTAAAAATAAACTGCTGCTATACTAATCACGGCACTACGCAAAGCGCCAAAATGTCGTGTCTCGATAACTAAGGCCCAATTGCACAAACTAATTTCTTATTTAAAATATTTTAATATTCGCTGTCTATTATCTAGAAATTTTATATCTACATTTGCGTTGTTGAGGTCCGTGTTGAAGAAATTAGTACTCGTGGGTTGAAATATGAATATACAATATTATATATTTCACTCGAACAATCGGCGGAAGTTAAAACGAGTTTGACAGCGAGACAGTCAAGAATGTAATGCTGCTTCTTGCATACTTTCTAAATACTATATACTAAAGCTAAAGAAAGGGAAAACGGCATGGTATGACGAACCTAGATGGACTCTACCTTTGTTGACAAAATGAGCAAGGGCTTGCCATCTAGGTGACTAAGCAGCGATGAGCCAAAGTATACATTGATAAGGCGGTTGGTCATCCAACAGCGTACTTGTAACCCCACCATAACGGGATAAGATAAATACAGTCGAATATACAACACATATTGTATGTATACCATACGTAGTGTATACGTGGCTGTTCAGTTCATTACAATTGTTCCGACCGATGCGGAACACCTTTCGCGATGATTCTCGAAGGTCCGTTTATGACACGGACGGGAGTGTTAGTTTATTTCGCGTTTAATGACCAAGAATATTTTAGAGTTTATTTTTCTATTACCGGCAATCCCATTTTCGCGATAGTAAAGTTTATTTCAGTCACTTCGAGTTTTTCCATTTATTTTAGCCTTTAGAATTTCGTTTCGTTTAATAACCGACCGAATCATAAACCTGGAGCGGCCGAAGGGTCGGCCGAACCATGTGCGTAACGGTTGTTGCCGGGCACGGTCAACCTGGAGGCATCCTTGGCTGCATCGCTGGGCCTTCGAGAGCACCCCCATGCGTCCCATTGCCCTCACCCCCCGCTCTATCGGGGTTGGCAAAGGGGCGTAAACCTTAGTGAGAATCGTAGTCTAAGATCCTGATTAGGGAAAAAGACGACCAATCCACTCGCGTGGAAAATCTTCGAGGTTTCGTGCGCGGACCCCGAACACTCTCGAATCAGACTAAACCACACTCGCAAAGAAGACACATCACCCATAGTCTCAATAAATAGTCGTGCTCACCAGAGCTTATACAAAGCAAAAGTTACAGTCCACACACATCTTTTGATAGGACTTCAGAATTCGCTGAAGACTCCTCCGCGTCGTTTAATCGTCGCTAAAATAATTGTCGACGCTGCGACGCATAAACATTTTTGGTCCTTCGAGCCGGATAGTGGTTCCGGCTACAATATACAATATCGCGCTTGAGTTGGACAGTGGTTCCAGCTATTATACAATATTGTACTCCATTTGGGGAGACATTGGGCAAAGACCAGTGGAAGCTAAGCCAGGAAGCAGATTCAGAAGGCGAATTCACGAGAAACCAACGAGCCAACGACGTTCCTGCACGAACGACAGCAGCCAAGCGAAGCAGTGAGCGGTAGTTGGAGAATCATTCGACGACGGTGATCAATCGTCATACAAGAAGCAGAAGGAGTGCATCAGCATCCTATCAGCAGCTGAGCAGTATCGCATCTAGCGTCCAGAGACGGCAGTATCGCAATAATCTGTATCGGTGAGTGCTAACGATTCACTTTCCAATTAATCTATCCCATCCACGTGTTTCGATCTCGACAATATGACACCCTCGTTAGAATCTGCTGACCTTAAAGCATTGAGAAGGCGTCGCGCCGCGGTTAAGGCCCAACTAACGCGTTTAAAGTCATTCCTCGCAGAGCAGCGCGAAATCTCGATCGCTGTATTGGAAATTCGCCAGTCCAAATTAGAGCAAATATTCAATGCCTTTTCGGAAGTGCAAGTAGCTATTGAAATAGCAGACGAAGAATCTGACCATACGCCGGAATGGGAGTCGTTCGAAGAATATTATTATAGTGCCGCGGAAACAATCAGCGAGCGGTTGAAAGAACAACGCGGAATTAGCGGAACCGTGTCCGCAAATCGAGTAGTAGAATCGCCAAATACAGTTAGACAAACTAGTTCACTTTTACGCAAGATAGAAATTAAGCCATTCGACGGCAATCCCGTAGAGTGGCATAGTTTTCATGACACCTTTAAATCCCTAGTGCACGATAATGACGAGTTGATCGGTGTGCAGAAGTTTCACTTATTAAAAAATGCTCTTCGTGGGGAGGCTATCGCAGTAATTGAAGCATTGAACGCGACAGAAGGAAACTATTTGGTGGCTTGGGATTTGTTATGCAAGCGATGCAACAAACCCAGAAAAATTATAAACGCACACTTGCGATTGTTGATCGATCTTCCGGAGATCACTCGAGACACACCCGGGAACCTCGGACAGTTAGCAGAGAAGGCTCAAGTACACGTAAACGCATTAAAGGCCATAAATCAACCCACCGAGCATTGGGATGCATTTTTAATACATATCGTGTCTAGTAAACTAGATAAGAATACTCGCCGCGCGTGGGAGCGTACATTAGAAGATGAGGAAATTCCCAAGTTTAAACAGTTCTTAGATTTTATCAATAAATATGCGCGCGGGGATGATCTTGGAGCGGATATCTTAAATTCTTCTAAGACAAACAACACTCATGATAGGTTGCGCCCCAAGACTCAGGTTCGCAATCATTCGTACATATCAACGAACGAGCGACAGCAAAATTGTGTAATGTGCAAGGGGGAACACCCAATTTATTCATGTACCCGGTTTCTGCAATTGTCCGCTCGCGATCGTTTAAACATAGTTAAGAAGGCGAGACTTTGCATAAATTGTTTACGTCCGAACCATGTCGTGATTAATTGCCGATTAGGAAATTGTCGTAAATGCGACAAGAAGCATCATACGTTGCTTCACTTTCCGACCGAAACACCAGTCGGGACGAGCCAAATCTTATCCACCCCATCAACATCCGCGGAAGGCATTAAGACCACCTTGACCGCGTCGTTCGATTCGGAAGTATTGCTCGGCACCGCTAGAATCACGATTTTAGACAAGCACCATAAGGAGCACGCGTGTCGCGTATTATTAGATAGTGGCTCGCAAACCCACTTTATTACGCATAAACTCGCGGAAAGGCTGCAATTGAAGCAGAAAAACATAGATCTGTCGTTTTCCGGTTTAGGGCAACTCAATACAAATGCGAAGTATTTAGTTCAATCCACGATAAAATCGCAAACTAGCCCATTTAATGCAGAGGTAACATTTATTGCCTTACCTTCGATTACGGGGAGGTTGCCGTTGCGCCAGGTCAACCTGAGCGATTTCCATATACCGAGGCACGTACAATTGGCAGACCCAGAGTTTCACAAACCAGGGGAGATAGATGCACTTATTGGTAGTGCGTTGTTTTACAAATTATTAGAAACGGGTCAGATTAAACTACATAGACCCTCCGTCATATTGCAAAATACGCAAGTAGGTTGGATAGTTACCGGCGAGGTAAATAATCAGATAATCAGCAAACAAGGTAGAGCAAGTCAAGTGTGTCATGTGGCTACGTCTCTTGATGCCGAAATTAGTAGATTTTGGACAATCGAAGAACTTCCGGAGAAAACTTTCTTGTCCGCGGAAGAAAAGGAGTGCGAGAATCACTTTAGAGAAAACACAACACGTAACGAACGCGGACGATATATAGTTAGGTTACCGTTCAATCAAAACCGGGATCTTCTCGGCAACTCGAAGATAATGGCTTTAAAACGATTTTATAGCTTAGAGCGCAAGCTCCAGTCGAACTTAGAGTTAAAAACACAGTATACAGAATTTTTACGCGAATATTTAGAATTAGAAGCATTCCCATCCGAGATAGAAAATTTAAAGAAAGGCAAGAGTATTTCGAAAAAAAGTAAACTAGTTAGCTTAAACCCATTCATCGACGAGAATGGGATTATAAGAGTCGGTAGCAGGTTAGAACACGCCCTGCTCAGGTACGAACAGAAGTACCCCATAATATTACCGCACAGACACCATATTACCGAACTCATAATTAGACAGGTACACATGAGACAATTCCATTCCGGGATGCAAGCCACCCTACAAACAATACGATTGAAGTATTGGCCTATATCTGGCAAGAGCATTGTCAAACAAGTATTACATAAATGCATTCGCTGTTGCAAATACAACCCCAAGACACCACAATACCTAATGGGGAATTTACCCAAAAATAGAGTTACGTATACACGCCCATTTGAAGCCGTAGGAATCGATTACTGCGGACCCTTTCTTATTAAAGAGAAGAAATTTAGGAATCAAACAAAATTGAAATGTTACGTGGTCGTTTTTGTTTGTTTCGTAACAAAAGCAATACACTTAGAACTAGCCACCGATTTAACGACAGAATCGTGTCTTGGAGCACTTAAACGATTCCTTGCGAGAAGAGGAAAACCGCGTCATATTTATTCCGACAACGGCACTAATTTTGTAGGCGCGAAAAATGAAATTAGACAGACGCTTGACGTCTTACGGGCTAATGAATATAAAGACAAGATGCAGCAGTTCCTAACACAAGAAAACATTGAATGGCATCTGTCTCCTCCGCGCTCTCCGCATTTCGGCGGACTTTGGGAGGCTGCAGTACGGTCGTTCAAAAGGCATTTGTACAAAACAATTGGTGACGCTATGTTCACGTACGAGGTATTCTATACGCTAATCGTTGAGATCGAAGCAATTTTAAATTCTCGTCCTTTGACACCTATATCCTCTGATCCCAACGATCTCCTAGCCCTATCGCCCAGCCATTTCCTTATAGGTGAGTCATTAGTGAGCCTACCGGAATACAATTTTGCTGATACGCCAATCAACAAGCTGTCACTCTGGCAGCATATCCAGAAAATCAAACTCCATTTTTGGAGAAGGTGGCAAACCGAATACTTGCAGGAGCTGCACACCAGGAGCAGATGGCACCTTGGAGACGGAGTAAACCTTAAAGAAGGAACTCTGGTGACCATCCGAGATGACAACTGCCAACCCTTGCAATGGCAAATGGGACGGATAATTGCGTTACACCCAGGCGAAGATGGCGTGGTTCGCGTGGTCACCATCCAGACCCCGCACGGCACGTATAAACGTGCCTTGAAGAAGGTGGCACCGTTACCAATCGAAACTAACACCTAGTTCGTCGTTATATGTATCATATGTATTATTTATGTACAGTTGTAGGATAATTAGGATTAAGAGCCTCACACTTCACACCCTCTCACACATTTACCCAGGTATATAACACATTTTCATTTGTATATTTCTGACTATCTTGTAGTTATATTGTAATGTTAGGTATATCTTGTATCGTGCGCCACAGTTAGGTTTATTGTATATCCAGACATACTTCAGTCGTTTTGCATAACACAACATATCACAAGTTAGAGAATAGGCATAGTATCCCGCCCCCGCGTAATAGTAATACAACACTACGTTAGAAGTTGATCGATTGCATCGATCAACGGGGGGGAGTATGTTCCGACCGATGCGGAACACCTTTCGCGATGATTCTCGAAGGTCCGTTTATGACACGGACGGGAGTGTTAGTTTATTTCGCGTTTAATGACCAAGAATATTTTAGAGTTTATTTTTCTATTACCGGCAATCCCATTTTCGCGATAGTAAAGTTTATTTCAGTCACTTCGAGTTTTTCCATTTATTTTAGCCTTTAGAATTTCGTTTCGTTTAATAACCGACCGAATCATAAACCTGGAGCGGCCGAAGGGTCGGCCGAACCATGTGCGTAACGGTTGTTGCCGGGCACGGTCAACCTGGAGGCATCCTTGGCTGCATCGCTGGGCCTTCGAGAGCACCCCCATGCGTCCCATTGCCCTCACCCCCCGCTCTATCGGGGTTGGCAAAGGGGCGTAAACCTTAGTGAGAATCGTAGTCTAAGATCCTGATTAGGGAAAAAGACGACCAATCCACTCGCGTGGAAAATCTTCGAGGTTTCGTGCGCGGACCCCGAACACTCTCGAATCAGACTAAACCACACTCGCAAAGAAGACACATCACCCATAGTCTCAATAAATAGTCGTGCTCACCAGAGCTTATACAAAGCAAAAGTTACAGTCCACACACATCTTTTGATAGGACTTCAGAATTCGCTGAAGACTCCTCCGCGTCGTTTAATCGTCGCTAAAATAATTGTCGACGCTGCGACGCATAAACAACAATTATAATCGACAGTAGACGTCCATGTGAGTGAATCAAACGTAATAATTAAAATATTTTTGTATGTTCCCGTAATTTATTATATTTTTAGTGGTATATTTATTGCGACGAAATTGTCACGTCTAGCTTTCGCTTTGAAGTGAAGTCTCTGTTTCCGTTAGGAAACGTACTTAAAAGAATTTTTCTTACGATACTGAAAGAGAAATCGATCGGAATTCTGAATATCCGTTCCGATAAAACACTGATTTGTAAATGTGAAACTTGAGTAGTGATAATACTACGCCCCCTGCGCCGATATAGAAGGTGTCATGCGCGTAATGTTATTTACATCGAGAGTTGCTTACATCGAGACTATTAACCCCTTGCCCTACGAAAGGTCCAACAACGTGGGCCCAAAACGTAGACAAAACTGTCACGAATTGTCATTTTATTTAAAATATTGGAGGAAGGAGTAAATTCTACTTTTCACATGAATACAAGATAGACTCTTTCGTTAGTCCTTGATCAAATATGTTGTGTATGTGTGAGTGTATTTTGTATGTACTTGTGCAAGCAGTACGTTAGTTTACTCATTTGTAAATGATTATTATAAATATTAACAGAAGTCTGTGAAAATTCAGATAAAAAGCCAATTTCTCGCATGCCATACATATCTTAACAATCTTGTTATTTCTTCTATTATATTGGAACTCGCGTGCTTAACTTTCATCGATCTTACTTAATCTTATTTATCAAGCTTACGTTTATCAATCATTTCTTACACAAATAGCTACACGAAGGCCAAATACAAAGAAAAAAGTTTTATTTTATTGTAATGTATTTTATTTTTAACCTCCTCAGGAACGATTTTTTTTTTCTTTTTTTGGGTCTATTTATTATTGACAGTAACTATAATTATATAAAAAAAAAAACTAAACGTCCACATATGTGGCCAAGGGCGTGAAGAGGTTAATTGTATTTTAAAAAGTCTAGAAATGTAACAAAATAAGGGTATGCGTCCTCGTATTTTGTGACTAAACTATACGTATTTTGTACTTTGTAAGAAACATAATTTTATAATAAAAACTTATCGAACGCGATATACATACATATGTTTACATGAGAACAGTGCCGAATCCAAAGAATTTTTACTATAGGTAGCCGAACACCCTGTATATGCGTATATAAGAAAAAACGGATGCGTTGCACATTTATGAAAGTTACGTTTTCCTCGAATATCGCGCTCCTTCGAAGCCATGCCTGTGATTGCAAACCAGAATGCTATTTCATGCACTGATATGTATATAATATGTACATACTAATATTTGACAGAATCGACCTAGGTACGAAGCAACGAGGGTGAAACGAATCAACTGTCGGTCGAAGTAGCTGCAGTTGACGGACGTGTATGATGCACCGAATAATGCATTTAACAGAAAAGAACTTCTGTCCGCGCGTGAATTAGTGGAACATTTCGAAAAAAAACTCGTATAGTAGTTATTAAATGTTTCCTGCGTGCAGTCGTTATTAAACATCACATAACGTTATTTATGGCTCCTAAAAAGTCGATTGAAAAAACGTCAGAACGACTAACTGATTAAAGTACATAGTGTTGTTTGTACGGTTTATAGATTTTTCATACGATAAACGAATGATTATCAAACGTTGAAATAAATGCTTGTACAGTGAATTGATAAATAAATATTATAAATATTCAATGATTGGTAAGGACACTTTTAAAACCAGAAAAGTGAAATATTATGTACAATGTCCTTATTATTTTACAGAAATGGTACTCTGAATAAAAATGAAGTTTCTCTCATGTTATTTTCGACGTTTTATTATAACAGTATTACTAATTACACTGCTATTCTGCATTGTCCAAGTCTTTAGATCAGAACTGGATTTCACCAACAATGATCTATCCAATTTGGATAAATTGTAAGGGATGTTTTAATTCTCTTGTGGTCTAAAATGTTGTCAGTTCTATTACAATGATTCTTGTTATTTCAGAATACATATATCTCAGTTAATCAAAGAGTCGGAACAAACTTATGTTGGGTATATAATTTCATTTAGTAATATAAGAATATTGGACTGTACAATTTTATGTATATTTGAATTATTAAAGATTAAAGAGGTTTCTATTTCTAGAGATGGAGTTGTAGCTTGTAAGCTGCCCCAGTTAAATGTCTCTAATCCAGAGATTACAAAATTCTTACATGCTGTTCCACCACTAGTATGTACACCTGAAGATTGGGTTATACTCCGTGGTTCAAGACTTGTTATTAGCAAAAGAGCAAAAAAAAAATATGGCTCGATATCTTGTTCTTTCAGTGGTAAGTTATGTAAAATTTGTAAAAATATATTGTTGCATTTATTCATGTCATTATTCTTATTGCATGCACTTAATTTAGCTTTTTTCTTACAGAAATTCTTAGAAACGATGACTCCAATATATCATTTTTGCCTCCAGTTGAGTCTGATGACTCTTATATCCTCAGGCATAGTGATTTTGTTGATGTCAAATGCAAATCAAAAAATGGGGAAGAGTAAGTAGAATGATTATGAAGTTTTCAATGTAACAATTTACATATTAAGATTCTTGACAATAATATCAATAATCATTTTTTAGATGGCACAGTATTATGGCAGGAGTTAAGGATGATCCTCAGATAAAAGAGAAAAATAAATGGGAAAATGTCCCAAACAATGCTCTTAAGTTAAATGTACTTATGTTTGGTTTTGATTCACTGTCGCGAAATACATTCATACGCAAATTACCAAAGACATATCAGTATTTAAAGGAATATTTAGGTGCTTTAGTTTTAGAAGGATATAATATAGTAGGCGATGGGACACCACAAGCACTCATTCCTATTCTAACTGGAAAGATTGAACTTGAATTGCCAGATACTAGAAAGCGAATGGGACAAAAAGCAAATTATGTTAATATTTATCCATTAATATGGAATCAATATAAAAAAAACGGCTATATAACAGGATTCATGGAAGATGTACACCATATTGGAACCTTTACATATCGTCTAAAGGGCTTTAAGGAACAACCAACTGATCATTATATGAGAACATACTATTTAGCTGCAACCCCATACTTTAGATACTATAATAAATTTTGTGTTGGAAGCATTCCACGACACATGGTATGACTGAATTCTTGTTTATAATAGTTAGTAAAATACAAATATTAGATTGTAAAATTATATATCATAATTATTCTCATAGGTGATGTTGAATTACATTAAGGAAATTTTTAATGTTTACAAACACCAACCGAAATTCCTATTTGGATTTCATGGGGAACTTTCACACGATTCCTACAATGATATAGGTGTGGTTGATGAAGACTTGCATACTTGGATTAAAGACTTGCATGAATTTGGTCACTTAAATGATACAGTATTAATATTGATGAGCGACCATGGGCACAGGTTCGTGTTCCAGGAACATGTGCAATGAAATTTTTGTATAAAATTAAATGTAAGTTATAAATTAATGATAAATTTGATTTTATAGGTTTGCAGAAATTCGTAATACTCTACAAGGTAAACAAGAGGAAAGATTGCCATTTTTTTCCTTTACTTTTCCACCTTGGTTTAAAAAAGCTTATCCACAAGCCTATGGAAACTTTTTGCACAATACACATTACCTATCAACACCGTTTGATGTGCACAAAACATTAGAAAGTATATTAAATTTTGAAACTCCGAAAGATGGGGATCGACATCAAAGAGCTATTAGTTTATTTGATAAGGTAAGCGTATCCTCATACAGGGTGTTCGGCCACCCCTGGGAAAAAATTTTAATGGGAGATTCTAGAGGCCAAAATAAGACGAAAATCAAGAATATCAATTTGTTGCTTGAGGCTTCGTTAAAAAGTTATAGAAATATTTCCGGCCACACAGTATAGTTCAGCGAAATTAAAAAATTTCAAATCGTTCTGGAAAAATTATTTTCGGTTGCGGAGGCCAATTGTAATAATTTTTGGTGAATACACATACCCTCGAAATCCTACACACTTCGAAGAAAAAAATTCTTTTCCGAAAATTTAATGTGAGGTTAGAAAAGTGTTGCCATAAAATTTCATGCGTATATTTAAAACGTCATAACTTCTGAACGGATTAGAGGATTTTAGTGTTTCAAAATGCAAACAACGCGTATTTTGGTGAAGAATATGTAGAAATTTTAAGACTCATCGGAAAGTTGTTCCTTAATCACGTAAAGTTAGAAAAAACCCATAAAAATGGTCCAATTTTCAAACGATCATAACTCCTACAATAGTCACTCGATTTCACTGAAATTTAGTCTAGACCTAGAGCTCATGGATACCTACAAAAAAGTATTGAACAACTTCTCTGTACTGCGTCAAATAAAGTTATTAAAAATCAAAAACGAATTTTTAAGAAAAATCGACAGGGTCGATAGGTACGGAAATTTTTCGGGCGAAATTGAAAAATTTCAAATCGTTCTGGAAAAATTATTTATAGTTGTAGGGGTCAATTACAAGCATTTTTGGTCAACAGACATATCCTCGAAATATTATTCAGTTTCGAGAAAAAAATTCGACTAGGTGGACAAATGTTTTCGACAAAATTAACAAATTTCAAATCGTGTTGGAAAATTTATTTTTGGTTGTCGGGGTCAATTGCAATCATTTTTGGTGAGTACACATACGCCCAAAATCCTACGTACTTTCGACAAAAAAATTCTTTACTGAAAATATACTGTGTGGCTAAAAATGTTTCCCTGAAATTTCATGCGTATGTTTAAAAAATCATAACTTCTAGACGAATTTAAGGATTTTAATGATTTTAAATGCAAGCAACACCTCTAGAGCCCCATAAAAATGGGCCGAAAAAATACATTGGATGTAATGTTTATCTAGTCGTATATCTCGTCTGCGGTGAGAACTATTATCGCGTGCATGCAGCTGTTTGCTAATTGCCGTTCTGTGTACATAAGAATTTTAATTTTAACACAGCAAAGGTTTGACTGTTAGTAAAGGTGCACACAGTAATTATAAGAATAGACAAATAATTATATTACAAAATAATACAGGTACCATTAGAGAGGACATGTGCAGATGCATTCATAGAACCACATTGGTGTGCTTGCCTTAGTTGGCAAGAAATTTCAATTGATGACGATATCGTAATTGCTGCAGCCAAATATTTTGTTCATTTTCTTAATATTTATACGGAAGACCATCGTGACATATGTAAAGATTTACAATTAAAAGAAATATTGTGGGCTGCTAAACTTATACCTAATAAAGGTGTTGTGAATAATTTTGGTTTTTTAATTTTGTAATTTATGTTTGTTTAAGATTAATAAAGATTCATAAAATGTTCATAGGTTTATTGAAATTTCAAAAATCTGGAGATCAAGATGGATTCATAGGAGATTTTAGTGCAAAAACAAAAATTGCAACTGAAACTTATCAATTGAAAGTAAAAACAAAACCAGGAGATGCATTATTTGAAGTAAGCATTACTTATGATATAAGGAAGAATATATATTCAACCAAAGTAAGTTTTTTAGTAAAAATATTCTACTAATGCAATACAAATTTTACAAACTCATGCTTGATATATGTAAAAGTATATAAAATCTGTTGGATTTTAGATTTCAGATGTTAGTAGAATTAACATGTATGGATCTCAAGCAAGATGCGTGGAAAATTTTTTATTTCATTTACGAAAATATTGTTATTGCAGAGATTAAAGAAGAAATGTTTAATTATAGTTAATTAGTCTTAAAGTATACTTTAGTTACTATATAATTCGGTAAAACTACTTATAATTGAACAAATTTAAAAATCACATTCATTATGAAACAAAGTAATGAAATTATTAGTTTTATTCTTTATAAGAATGTAGTAAGTCCTACAAATGTTACCGCACAGTTTACCTCACTATGTACAATGTTAAGTTGCCAAATTGATAGGATAACTAAATACAGTAGTGCCCACATAAGTGACCACGCACAGGACCAGCGACGGTCATTTATGTGGGCATAGTTGCTTCTCAAAATTCAACGGAGATAAAGAAAGAGGATAAGTGCGAGTGAGATACAATAACTGGCGCCCGAAACCATACATACAATGTATGTATCGATAACGACCGGCGTCAAGTTACAAGCTTCTAAGAATTGGTGGGGATAACCGCGGTTATTTAAGTGGGCAAAAATGCGGTCACTTATGTGGGCACTACTGTATTTAATGTAAATAGTGCACAATCTATTACTATTAATACATAATTGAGCTATTTCAATGTTTATATAATAAATCAATTTTATTGAAAAATTGCACTTACATGTAAATTTTTGTATCCTTATGCTTGCTGTGAAAGAGAGTATTCTCCAAATTGATGAACAAATGTTGTAATTTCACGAGCAGTGGCATCTATCAATAAAAACCCAACGTTTTGTACATGCGATGGATCATATGGAAAGTATTCTTGGCCTCTACAGTCTTTGGCTGTTACTTGCAGAACTAATGTACTAACTGACAAATGCGAATCTTCCTTCTTATGTACTCTAAAATAATTAGGCATTATGTATATGAGAATATGAGTTTATACAACCTGAATTAAATTGAATGAATTATACAACCTTATTAAATCTTTATAAATAACTTTGGTAGTATTTAAATATGGATCTAAAACATCTTCATATTGACAAATTACTCCTCCAAGAACAAGCATTTGAAAAATACGAAATATAAATTCCTCCCGTTCATCTTTTGGATATAAATTATACTCTGGGCATTCATTGTCTAGTAACATCTACAAATATTAATGTATGAATAAATTTATAATACTAAAAGAGTAACTATGTAAAATGAAAATTCATACTCCTCTAAGATTATCAGAAACTAAAAGACTTTCAACTTCCATATCATATCTTTTACAAATAGTTCCAGTCTTCTGTACAATTCCATTTTTTGGATCTTTCATTTTATCAAAAAATGACATGTTTAAAATGGAACAAGGTACAGTTTTTATCTCCACATGTGATGCAATTATACCTATCAATAATAAAAAATACCAATAATAAATAATACCATAGTATAAAAGATATTTTTACTACCTTGTTTTGCCCAACAATTTCCTTGTTTTGTTAACAGTTCTTTTGCAACAGTGTCATTTTTAAAGAATGCCTAAGGATAATTAAAATACAAATAACTAAGAAGAAAATTGTAAAACTAAATAATTTTTCAAAATACTATTCACTGAATTATTACTGAATTGTAATTATATTTATTATAAAATGTGCAACAATTAACTAACTTCTGCTAAATGATATTTGTGATACTGCTGAAAAGGTTCATTGAATGAAAAATGTTGAATAACAAAATTTCCATTTAGTCCCCTGCAAAATCGAAAAGCGATTCGTTATAATAGTCGCAATATTGAAACTATGTACAAATAAGTATATACATCTTATATAAATGATATAATGTCCAAACACGCATTTACAGATACAAAGAAACGAAGAAAAAACGTGATTCCTGTAGTAAAATTAAATCGAAAATATAGAATGCCTTGTATGTTACAAAATATTTATAAACTTGAGAAAGAGTTATGCTATCATTACCATTTAGAAAGTAATTCTTGTGCCGTTTTGTTATAAATTCTAACGTAATTCTTTTGTGGCAAAGGTACAAATGTATATTTAGGTTCGACTTCCATTGTTAAATAATTACACATATCCTTACTATGGAAACGGAGAACAATAAATATATATTCTATGTGTACTGTTTATGTATGCATTTTTATATTAAAATATGAATACTTTTTAAAATTATGTAATTTTTAATTATACACATAATTAGAAAAAATATACATATTTGAACATGAAATTATTATTCGCGAATGCATACATATAAAACTTATTAAAGAAATTTCCATTATGTATCTATGAATATAGTTATATTAACATTTATTTTTATTAATAATACAATAAATGGACAATATAATATTCTATGTACAGCATTTATGGTAAATTTTATTGAATTCTACATTGACAAATGCGTCGATGCAATGTTATCATAGCAAATACGTAAATATACTGTATATTGACTATAGTTTTCAGCTTCAAAAGCTCTTGGAACTTAGAACTCTTGGAAGACCATGGCGCCGAATCAACGTCAACGTCAACTTTTTATTTCAAAGAAAGAATTGAAAAAGCTCAATGGCAGAAGATTCTCAAAGTAGAGATAATAACATTTATGGTTTTCTCATTAATAAGAAACAACTAGGATATTTTTCTATCGTATCGTATCTAACAAACTTAAACATATTGTTTGCCGGTTAACCTTTTCTGTCAATTTTTCGTGGTATTTATTTATTAACGAATTTTAGATATTTCAAACATTTTACATTATAACACTTGTGTCCTTGACAAGTTCGCACATTATATATTTTTGTGACAGATTCTTTTATTTAGGATAATTGAAAATAAGAGTATCAATTTAGGATAAATACGCAGAAAATCATAGAGAATACTAAAGATATATATTTCAGACCAGAAGAATCGTCGGATGTTGGACTTATTTATCCTAGTGTGGATACAGCATTTAAATTACTTTTATCAGCTAGGTTTTGCTCAGCTACATGGAGCCACATAACAGATTGCGATGAAACATACAATTATTGGGAACCAGTAAGGATTACCTCTTATTATAATGTCTTATTATAGTATTATTGTTTATTTATTTAATGTTGTCAAAGAAGAATTATGTTTTTATTTTGTAATTTTTATAATTGAATATTGTAGTGCTGAAAGCAAAATATTCTAAGAGTTCAACCATTTGTACGATATTGTTTTTTTTGAATAAATGAGTTATTTATTTTATAAGAGTATTTAATTTTATCTGTCATGTTTTTTTCTCTTATGCTATGAAAATTAATGTTTTTAAAAAATTAAATTTTATTCATTTTTATAGAGTCATTACTTATTATATGGAACCGGCCAACAAACATGGGAATATAGTCCACAGTTTGCATTAAGGTCTTACATGTATTTATTAATTCATATGGTACCAGCAAAACTCTACCATTATTTGCTAGAACCAAATCCTGTTCTAGTCTTCTATTTTGTAAGATGCCTTTTATCACTAGGATGTGCATTATCTGAAGCATACTTTTATAAGTATGTATCAATGCTATGACTAGTAGAAGCAACTGATGGAAGTGTTGTATGAATTTTATTGTTTCAGAAATGTGTGTAGAGAATTTGGAATTCACATAGGCAGATTGACATTAGTGTTCCTTATTTTTAGTTCTGGCATGTACATTGCCAGTGCTGCATTTTTACCATCTTCCTTCTCAATGTGTGTATATAAAAGCAACGATGTTTGAAAAAATAATGAAGTAATAATTATTTAAATTTATTTTATTTATATATATATATATATATTCATTATATAGGTATTTAAGTACTACTGCTACGGCTGCATGGTATGGAAGACAGTATGAATTAGCTATTTTTGCCACTGCCATATCTGCTCTATTAGGATGGCCATTTGCTGCATTACTTGGGTATTATTAATATATACATAATTTTTTAAATATTACAGAATCGAAAATATGAACTTTTTCTCATGTTCTTTATAGATTACCAATTGCAATGGAAATGTTAATACATAAGCATGAGTGGAGTAAATTTATAAAATGGGTAATTATATCTGGTGTTGTTGTTTTGGTGCCAATGGTATGGATTGATTCAATGTACTATGGTAAATTAGTAATAGCACCATTAAACATTGTAATGTACAATGTTTTCACTAATCATGGTCCAAATCTTTATGGAACTGAACCTCTTAGTTATTATATTTACAACGGATTTTTAAACTTCAATTTCATTTTTATTGGCGCACTTTGGGCTCCATTTGGATTGGTAATATTTACGAAATTTATTATATTTAAAGCTTTGTAACTTTTAATATTTCAATAAGTCATACAGTTTTTAGTGTGGTTAATTGTACCATCGCGACCAAGAGATCGACTTTGTTTATCTTACTGGTACTCTTTGGCACCATTGTACCTTTGGTTTCTGGTCTTCTTTTTCCAACCTCATAAGGTGAATTGAATAGAACTCTTTGTACGTTAATATTAATATGAAATATGAACATACATAACAGAATTTTGTCTACAGGAAGAACGATTTTTATTTCCTGTATATCCAATGATTTGTTTGGCTGGAGCAATAGCTGTGGATGTCATTCAAAAATTGTACTTCTTCATTAGAACGAAACTTAGTCCCTTGCATATTGCTTACCATTATTTACAATATACTATTCATATTACGCTCATGACGATCTTAATATGTGGTCTTCTTGGTATATCGAGATCATTGGCAATATATAAAGGTACACAGAACTTAATACAATATAATTATACCTTCTTTTTAAGATATTTATAAACTTCGAACATTAACGAATTAAAAATTAAATTTTGTATCATCACACTAGGTTACTATGCTCCAATGGAAATAATGATTGAAACTAATAAACTTGAGTCAGAAGGAGAAATATTTAAGGATGCAAATATCAATTTTTGTATTGGTAAAGAATGGCATCGATTTCCAAGTAGTTTTTTCTTTCCATCAAATAAGTGAGTTATAGAATAAATATGTTTTAAGATTGCTACGATTAATATAAATTTTCTTCAAATATAATAGAACAATATTATTTTTAGTTGGAAACTTCAGTATTTAAGGTCAGAGTTTAAGGGACAATTACCACAAGCTTTCTTAGATCATGAAAATGCAACTAGTCTAATACAATCCCAGTTTAATGATGTAAACAGAGAAGAACCAACACGTTATGTAAGTTATTATTTTTAATACATTTGAGAAACATTTAATATAATCAATAATAATTGTTTGTTATATTCAGTTTAGTTTAGATAAATGCCATTTTGTATTAGACTTGGACATTGGCACTGAGACAGCTTTAGAACCAAATTATTCTCGATTAATGGATAATTTTACAATAATAAAATCATCTAAATTTTTAGATTCCACAAGGTGAGTGCATCAATTCTTCAACAACGGGCTCTGTATCTCGTACGAACCCAGTGATTTTCACATATCGCTAGCGTCAGTAAGAGATATAGACCAACGTAATTGTTTATTTACTTTGTCTTTAATATATATTATTATTTAAGAACAATATTTTACGCGCTTATCTCTTACCTTTCAGATCACATCGATATTTTAGAGCATTTTATCTACCTTTCGCATCACACCAATTTTGTACATATGGCTCATATAATTTGTTACAAAATACTAAATTTAAGTTGATTTCCCCTTTGTCAAAAGAAAAGAATACAAAATCTTCTTGAATGGAGATACTGGGATATGTCTATAATTTTAATAAACAGGGTTTCTATCAGGGAAATTATACCAAAAACTGAAGTAATTCGAGACAATTAAAATGCGTTCAAAATTAAATATAGTACATAAGTACATTTACTACCTACATAGTGAAAAGTTTTTGTATCAAATTTTTTAATAGAACAGAATTTGTTTCAACAAACATTAATTAATGTATGAAACATATACATATGTATGTTTATATAATAATCGATACGCATATAAAGTGTATTTCAAAAGGAATAGAAATGATTTTATGTTGCTTATATGACAATTAATTTGCATTATTGGAACACTAGTAGATATGAAAAGTGAATGTGCTCATAAGTTATAATACATTTATGAAAAATTCTATTACCTTAGAGTTTCAACACAGAAATGTTTTCATCTAAATATTACATACATACATGCTAAACGTTATATAATGGAAAGTATTTTAATTAATCTCTTGTATTGGCGAAGCTTTTATTATCCATATGTAAAAATTAATTCCAGTAAGTGACCAAATATCGTTATATGTATGGTAAGTCTTTCACTCATGCAATTAATTCGATTCAAACTTTACAGCGTAAATCAAATTGTATAAATATGCTGTACTTTTTATATAAAATCTTAATTTTAAAGGATAATTGAAATTAAAAATAACCATATATATGTTTTCAAGTATCAGAACAATTTAAGAAATAAAAACATCATCTAATATGTAAGCATATACATACCTATAAAATATGTATTAGGACATAAATGGTGATACAACCGCGTATCTATGTATGCAGGTAACTCTGAATATTTACTGTTTTTATCTCTTAGAATAGTCATTTATAGAGCATACATGATACTAGTTCACATAATGATAAAAACAGAGTAACTAAAACATTACCTTTTCCCACTGAGTGAATAGTATCTCTTAACAATTTTTTTATTAAATTCACACATGCTTTTGCATATAATTAAGTACTTATTTTATAATCTACAAATTTTTGTACATATATTAGTGAAAGTATAAGTAATATATTTTTGAAAATGTAAATATAATAATTTAATTGTAAATACACTATAAATTATTGTATGATCTTTTAGAAATGTCCAGCTACAAATTGCTATAATTCACATTAATTACATCGAAATCTTGTACTTTTCAGAAATGTAGTGTATGTTTATTTAAAGTAGTGTGAAGAATTGTTACCAAGGAGTACATGTTCCATTAAATCTTTTTAATTCCAAAAAAACATACTTTGATTCACCTTATGCAAATTTTGTGTGCATCTAATTACTATAATATGTACATAATAATAATTAAATGTAATTCATGACATTTTATACTCATTTACAATTACTGCATCAGTGAATTATTTACAGCGTAACGTGAACGTGATTTGTAAAATTAATTTAAACAAATTTCTTTTCTTTCTTAATATATTTATGTTTTGATCACGATTAATTGCATATTGTTCGTTTTTTCTCTTGCGTTATCGTTATCTAATTACTAACTTTTAACACGAATACACTGTAACCTTCAAATAAAATGTTCCGTTTTTGAACGAGTGCAGAACGTATAACGAAATTTCACATTCCTCGTAATATCGTTAATAGAAATACGAACATTTTTTCATTCGCGACTATTTTTGTTTTATTTATTTTTTCAATTATGCAGGGTGTTCGGCCAACCCTGGGAAAAATTTTAATGGGAGATTCTAGAGGCCAAAATAAAACGAAAATCAAGAATATCAATTTCTTGACTGAGGCCTCGTTAAAAAGTTATTAACAATTAAATTAAAAAATTTCAAATCGTTCTGGAAAAATTATTTTAGGTTGCGGGGGTCAATTATAATCATTTTTGGTAAATAGATATACCCTCGAAATCCTACCCACTTTCGAGTAAAAAATTCAGTACGGGTGGAACTTTAAACGTTAATAACTTTTTAACGAAGCCTCCATCAAAAAATTGGTATTCTTGATTTTCGTTTTATTTTGGCCCCTAGAATCTCCCATTAAAATTTTTCCCCAGGCGTCACCGAACACCCTGTATATGATTTTTGCAAAGTGACCCGAAACTTTAAAACCTTTTTAAAAAATGTACAAATTCCATTTAGAACAAGTTTATGTAAACTATTTTTAAATATTTCTGAAGTTTAAATGAAGAAAAATTATTTATTTAAAGAATTCTAGTATGTCCTCAAACTTTTCAGACAATCACATGGAGTACTTCATATCATGCTCGATATCAAAATATATGTATACATATATCAATATTAATAAAATTTTATTTTAGTCGTGATTTTAAGATATAATTCCAATTTACGCCGATATTGCAATCTTATCAAATTTTAGCCAATTATCAAAACGATTTATCTTTACCTGCGTTCAAGCATGATTAGACGTTCTTGGCAGTTTTTTTTTCAGTAGAATTAAATTTTTAGCGCCGTGCATACGTACTATACGGCGCCTCCGTCTGTTTGATGTTAAACAGCCATTTTAAAATCAACAACGCCCTAAGATTTGGGTAAACAAGCCTTTAAATTGTATTCACCCATGCATGCCTTAGAGACAAGAAAATTTCTGTTGGAGTATTTAAGCGGCGTTGGTGACGGAATGTTTGATTAATGATAAAATTGGCATTTATCGTAATGTAGTACTTTACACCGTCTGACGCGAAGTACCAAATACGATTCGTGACAGTGTCGAGGAAAAGTCGATGTAAGATGGAAACGGTGGATTTCGATGACGAACAGACTCATACTCATTCCATAAAATTACCGGCGGCAGTCGAGGTGTTCGCAAATTTAAAAAATGCCCAAACTTTCGCAATCGACATCGGTATGTATCTCATCTAACACTACACGTCACGATATCCTAGTAGCTCATTTTTAATCTTACTAAACAAGAAAAATATTTAACCTGTAGTCGTCAAACTCCACAATGGTATTTGAGTAAAATCTGTATAGAATAAACTTTGACATAACCGATCTCGATCGAATAGATTTTAGATTTAACGGCCACAATTTTATTGTCCTATCTCGATAGATCCCTAAGTTATATGCAACACAGTTTTTTCCCTTGTTTTAAAATTGAATAATTTCTTCAAGACCATGTCACATCAGTTTATATAGGACAGCTGGTGAGGATCCTCCTCCATCAAATTCATATTTAGTGACAAGAATTTTTGAAAAAGATTATTTTACTGTTGGTCAGGATTTCGTGTCACATAAATTAATATAGTAATTTCATTTTATGTTTACTTCACAGCTAAGATGGTCTTGACCTTTCACAATTTGCTTCTTCTATATATTTTATTTTATTTCTATATCATGTTAAAATAATGTAATTTAAAATAAATAAGTAACATTACTTAAAATAACCACTGGTGTCAATTTTAATTGAATCCTATAAACTAATGACTAACAGCATTAATATTATGAAAATAATCTTTAGGTGAAAAAAAACAGATTATTTGTAACTATTTGTAATAATTCCTCTTTTGTAAATGATATCAATACCTTGCCAGTGTATATTTAAATAAACATGAGGATGATGAACTGAATAATTTATCTTCTGAATGAAATAAACATATCATTTTTTGTTGTTGTTAATAAACAATGATAAAATTTATGAGTGATTTATTTCTTATCTTATATGTATTATACTCACATACAGTTCAATTTATAAATTTTAATGTAAAAGTAGATTGTATTATGCTTAAAACTATATAATCTGTTATTTAGCTAATTTCTAGTTTTGTATAGATACTATCTATAGATATAACTTTTCCTATAAAGTTAATTAATTCAAAGTTTTACTGTATATACTACTAAATATATCATTAAATGTTTATAAAAAAATTAAATATGAATAACATATTTAGAGCATAGTTACACACATGATTAATGATCATGATAAAGTATCATTATACTTTGTTTATAAGAATGACTATTTTTCATTTAATAATTGCAGGCTTATCATTGACAAAAATAGCTTATTATTCAACAGTTAGTTATCGTAAAGCACTGTATGAAGATGCAGGCTTAGGGAATAGTGGTGAACGAGCATACAAAGTTCACGAAGGGAATAGACTTCACTTTGTTAAATTTGAAACAAGATACATTGAAAACTGTTTGGATTTTGTGGAAAAAAATTTAGTGAATGTTGAAAGGTTTCATGGTAAAAGTATTAAAGTAACTGGTGGTGGAGCATACAAATATACTCCTTTACTACAGGAGAAATTGGGCTTGATGTAAGTATTTTATAGTATAGGAGTGGTGTAGATATTGTTATACATAGTTCTATCAGAAGTTTTGACAGTACATTGAATGCTTATACTGAAAGTACAATGTAATATAGGGTAATCAAGACATATATTTTGAAAGTAGAAAAATAGCTTTGTAACTATATTTAATTTATATAATATAGCCACCTCCATTTCTCTAACAAAGTTGCAAATGAGGTGACAGTCATTGATTGCTGCATGGATTGCATCAACTGTATTTGAAATTTGTGATGTTGTTTGGATGATGCATTTTTTGGAGGACTTCAACTCTGGCCAGTTTTTTTTTTGCATGCTTTGTGCTTAAGAATATCCCAGAGCTTGTGCATATTGAATGCTGAATCATTGGTCTCTAAACAATACTGAGTTGTTTTTGCTTTATAAGTGGGTGTGGTATCTTAACTGGTAAATTTTTGCTGACATTTTAATTTCAGCTTTATCTATTATATCATTATACACAAGGATAATGATCTTGTTGAACTTTATGAATCTTCTCAAGAATTTCGTATGAGTTATAAGCATAAATTCTATTGTTTTATTTTTTAAATTTCTCTTCTATCATGAAGATGTTTTTGTTGGTAAATAAAAGCTTTTTGTAATGACCTCTTCCATAAATCTGGAACAATTATTTCGAACGCTCGATCTATTTTTTATCACCGTTTATCTACAATCTATGTTTAAATTTACCAATTGTACATTAATTTGAATTTTACTGACAGAATTTATGGCACGACTATGTATACTTGTTACGTCGAGTTTATATTTTAACATAGAGATAAAAATAATCAAAATATTATTTTAGAGTTGATAAAGAAGACGAAATAGCATGTCTAATAAAAGGTTGCAATTTTTTACTCAAAAACATACCATGTGAAGCGTTTGAATTTAAGAGACATGGAAATCCTGAATATGTATTTCAAAAGGCTTGTACTAATATATTTCCATATATGTTAGTGAATATTGGTAGTGGTGTCAGTATTCTAAAAGTAAGTTGCAAATGTATTGATTAAGAACTTGGAATAAGTAGTCTCATTTACTTTGAAGGTCTATATAATATTTATTAGGTAGAGTCTGACAAAGTATTTGAAAGGGTTGGTGGTACAGCTACAGGAGGGGGAACATTCTGGGGATTAGGTTCCCTTCTTACAAAAAGAAAGGTATTAATTTTAATTCTTTAGTATCTTAAAAATATCATTAATGTCTCACCGTGATTATAATTACGCATTTATCAATGTTACATTGTAATGCCTTTATGTGTGCAATATATGAATTATTTGTTATTTTATCTTTTTTATCTAAGAGATATTGCATTAAATTTATGTTTGTGAAATATCACTGAAACAAATGTACGCATTTAATAAGTTACCTTAAAAATACCCTGCTAGGACTTTGATGAATTGCTGCAACTTGCAGAACGCGGAGATCATCGTAACGTTGATATGTTAGTGAAAGATATTTATGGTGGCGATTATTCTTCCCAAGGATTATCAGGGGAGCTTATTGCATCTTCTTTTGGCAAGGCCATGCCATATATTAATAATAAAGGTAAGGAAATAGCAATCCATTGAATGATTAAAAAGTAACATATTTTGATTATGTTTTAGGACAGCCAACATTTTCCGAAGCAGACCTTGCCAGAAGTCTTTTGCTCACAATAAGTAATGACATTGGACAAATAGCTAGTCTATATGCAACTGTGCATAAAATGAGTAAAGTTTACTTTGGTGGTTATTTTCTTCGAAATCACCCTTTGTCAATGCACACTATTTCATATTCCATCAAATATTGGTCTCACGTTAGTTTTAGAATTTCTAGTAAAAAAATATTTGCTACAAATATTTATTAAATATTTGTTTTGTTAATATACTTTTCTTTTACATTTAGGGTAAAGTAAAGCCTCTTTTCCTTCGTCATGAAGGCTACCTTGGTGCTATTGGTGCCTTTTTATATGGTGCTGAACAGTCAGACAAATATAGTTGGTTGGAAAACTATGCAGGCTCTTCAGGATTTAAAGATTCAATACCAACCGACCTTGGAATTAAAGTTGATCAGTTGGAAATTGATCAGGCAGAAAATGCTGTGACATTTTGTCCCCTTTTAAAAGATCCTGCAACTTACAATCCTGACACAACAGATCTTGCAGAGGACAAAGAAGCTAGGTAAATTATAATGTTCTTTTGTAGGAATACTACAGTAGTGCCCACATAAATGACCACAGTTATCCCCACCAACTCTTAAAAACCAAGCGGTTTCGAATATCGAGCGTGTTGAGTGTAACTTGACGCCGATCGTTATCGATACACTGTATATATAGTTTCGGGTGCCAACTATTGTATCTCACACGCATTTATCCTCTTTCCTTATCTCCGTTGAATTCTGAGAACTAATCATGCCCACATAAATGACCGAGGTCGGTCCCGAGCTTGGTCATTTATGTGGAACACTACTGTATATTGTTTCTTTTCTTATAACATAAATTGATGTGTTTAGAGACTATTGGCTTCAGTGTTTTGAGGAATCAGTGGATAAATTTATTGCAAGAGCTATCCACAGTCAACCACATAGTCTAACTGCTAAAGATAGAGCAACAAAACTTAAGGAGAAATATATTAATAGACTACATTATTTGCATCTGCAACCATTGTAAGCTAAGTCCTACTCAAAATATAACTTTTTACAAAAATATAATACTACATTATGCAATGAGGTGTTAAGATCTATTTTATTATAGTGCGTATGGAACACTCACTGTGAGGGTATTACTGGATACTATTGAGCATTGTATGAAGGAATTTGATTTTCCCGATCCTTATTTGCACGTAAGTTGTAAAGTTGAAACTTACACCAATATAATTATAAATGTTTTCATACATATCTAATGAAATTTAAAAAAAATTACAATATATAGCAAAAAAAACTAGAGAACGAAGAAGCCTTAAAACACCTGAAAGATCGTATAATTGCTCTGGACAAACTAGAAGGAAAAGAGAAAATAAAAGCTCTTGTACTAGGAGTTGTGAGCGGTAATATGTTCGATTGGGGCGCAAAAGCTGTCTCTACGTTAATGGAAACAACAGACTTTGGTTTTGCCGAAGCTGAAGCAAAAATACCGGGTACTGCATTATCTTATTATAATTCGCAACATTAATCGTGCAGACGAAATATTTTTTATAATATTAACGTGTTATTTTTTTTTAAACTTAGGTAGACCGTGGTTGCAAGATGATTTAGATGATTGGATAAATAGATTAGAAACTGGACCACCACATAAATGTGCAGCCATCTTTGTTGACAACAGTGGAATCGATATAGTGTTAGGAATTTTACCTTTTGCACGGGATTTGTTGCTTCGAGGGACAAAAGTTAGTTAACGCTAAATTAATTTCTAAATTACGAATCTAGTTATATAGACTAAATGAATTGACTCGATTAATAACGGTTTAGGTTATACTGTGCGCTAATTCTATGCCAGCTTTGAACGATGTGACATATCCAGAATTAGTCGTAACATTACGAGATGCAGCAAAAATATGCAGAGATATTAGACATGCTCTAAAAGAAAATCGATTAATGGCTATGGAAACAGCTCAAGCAGGCCCCTGCCTTGATTTGAGGTAATTATTATTAAGTATGAACAGAATAGTTATTTTAAGCATTTAGCTATGTTAATGAATGCAAATTGTTTATAATTTAACAGCCGATTGAGTCTAGATTTATGCCTTGCGATGGTAAAACACAATGTTGATCTTATTGTACTTGAGGGAATGGGCAGAACCCTTCATACCAATCTTTATGCAAAGCTAACTTGCGAGTGTTTGAAGTTGGCAGTTGTTAAGAATCGATGGTTGGCGCTTCGATTAGGTGGCGATATGTATGCTGTAATATGTAAATATGAACGACCACCACCGAAAACGAAAATTTATGACATAGAAATAACAGCGGAAGAATGCCCATCAGATTGTGTAGAGGCAGTGACGGACGTTTGTATATGCGACGAAAAAGACTAAATAATGAATACCTAAGTAACTATCCAATTGTTCTTTGGATCAATGATATGTGCAAAATTTGAATTCGGTTATAGGAACTGAAAAAATTGTAGGTTAAAGTATTTTTTAATTTACATTGAGCTATGTATATAAATAAAATAAGAGAAATTAACAGAAAATTTCTTTCAAGTATGATTTAGAATTTCATATAAGAATATACTCAAAATACTTAAAATACTTTATACAAAATTTATTATTACTTGCTTTCAACAATGTAACTATTATATGTAGAATTTAAGAACGATAAGAGAAGCAAGCTTGGTGGATTACGTTATGTATTTTATTCTCTAATGAACGAACACAGCTTATTAAGACGTTTTTACGTTTATAGCGCGGATCAGTATATTAGAGTGTTTAATATCGCGGAATCAACCAAGTTTCATAATGTAGCCTATACTTGTTACTCAAGTATACAAATTGGTAGTACCTACGTAAAACATTAATAAATAACGACTAACACCTAGTCAAAGACAATAAATATTATTTTCTTTATAGTTTGAAGAACTTATTGTAAATTAAAGAAAAAGTGATTATGACCAATTGCAATAGATACAGACATGTATCATATAATACTGTACAGTATATCTTCTGTGATAACGTAGCGATCAAGGAGAAAGTTACGCGTTTGTGTAAATTGAAATTTGAAAGAATCTAATAGAGTAATGTGTACAAAATTGAAGTGCCTTGAGAAAGGACGTTCTTGTTTTGAAACTTTTTGTATAGGAATCTCCTATTAGTTCGTGCCAGATAGGACAGTGTAGACTGAAAACTTGTTTTCATATATTAACTTGGAACAGTCTGTTTTTTCTTTTTTTTTATTTTATAATATTTTTTTGACAAATACAACACCAAAGTGTTGTTCAATCTGACGCGAAGAGTCGAGTGTGCCGTTAAGATATTTACAATTACATTATGTCTGTAAGGGAAAAAGATTATCAATTCCCCAGAACATTTTGTAGAAAAGAAGGAAACAAGTAAATCGAAAATGAATAAAATGTAAAATAGAAATTGTACAGCATTAATAAAGCAAGAAACTTGAGATAAATTGTTATGTTAAAGCCAGAGACAATGTCTGGAACAAAGACAAGATAATAATTTGTTAATATTCAATTTAAATGGCACTCGTGCGTGATATACAAATTGTTCCATAATGTGTAAATAAAACATGAACCATTTGAGACTTAATTGTAGGGTATTTAATGATTAAGCGCAACGTTTTTTTAAAAATTTGTAATCTACATTAAAATTTACTCTGACGAACCTCGATATAAATTTCGAAAGGAAATTCTTATTAAATTGTAATCACGGTCGTGCTTGTTGGCCAAATAAAAATGCAATACAAGTTTTTCCCCGAATATACTAAGCTTTGCTGTAATACATATTAAAACATTAATCTTCTACGAGTGTACAATTAAATACAATTGTGTAAATAAAACGCAACTATATTTTTTAGTAATAAATTTTATACAACATAAGTTCGTTTCGTTTAACGTTCGTAATACCTTTTATGGATCGTGAATTCGAAAAATTTCATTAGCGATGACGATCGTTTACACAGTCCACTCTTGAAATTACAAAAATCACTTCGAGCCTGAAAACCAAATAATTTCGATCATAAAACTACAATAAAAACATAATACTCATAAATTTCAAGGCATGTTTTTATTTAATAGAAGTAGAAATGTGTAAAACCTTTCTCATGTTTATATTAATAAAAAAACAAAATTATAGTATACAGGGTCATCCCTGGGAAAAATTTTAATGGGGGATTCTAGAGGTCAAAATAAGACGAAAATCAAGAATACCAATTTGTTGATCAAGCCTTCGTTAAAAAGTTATAAACAATTAAATTCAAAAATTTCAAATCGCTCTGGAAAAATTATTTTCGGTTGCGGGTGTCAATTACAATCATTTTTGGTGAACAGACATACCCCTGGAATCCTGCGCACTTTTGAGAAAAAAATTCGAGAATGTGTGAAATTTTTCGACAAAATTAAAAAATCTCAAATCGTTCTGGAAAAATTATTTTCAGTTGCGGGGGGATCAATTACAGTCATTTTTGGTGAGCAGACATACTCCCGAAATCCTACCCACTTTCGAGAAAAAAAATTCAGTACGGGCGGAACTTTAAACGTTAATAACTTTTTAACAAAGCCATCAACAAATTGGTATTCTTGACCTTCGTCCTATTTTGGCCTCTAGAATCTCCCATTAAAATTTTCCATGCTTCTTATTTATTTACCTACCTTTCCCTTTAATTTCTTAATTCTCATAGCTTCTGAAGCTTTATAGTCCCTTATAACTGTTATAAATTTTCGAATCTACACACTGTTACGAGCCAGGGCCGTGCAGCGCGCGTGGCCTGCGAGTGCAAGAGAGAGTATGGAATATGGTATCAATTTGTTAATTAGGTGCACGGACGAACCCGATGCAAGATCGGGGAGCCGCTAGGATAGTTGATAACGAGGACGAACCCGATGCGAAATCAGGGAGCCTCTAGGATGGAGTCACTTACGGACGAACCTGGTGCGAAACCAGGGAGCCGTAGGAGGGTGTAATGTCGTGAACGAACCCGATGCTTAATCGGGGAGTCACTAGGATGGTTAATAACGACGCAGACGAACCCAATGCGAAATCGGGGAGCTGCTAGGAGGTTGGAACAAACGCAGACGAACTCGATGCGTAATCGAGGAGCTGCTGGGAGGTTGGATAAATCACAGACGAACCTGATGCGTAATCAGGGAGCTGTAGGATGCGGACGAACCTGGTGCGTAAGCAGGGAGCCGCTAGGATGGTATTAGATTGCGTGGACGAACTCGATGCGTAATCGAGGAGCCACTAGGTTGTAAGAATTTGTATTTGGATTAAGGATGTGTTAATTGACCTCGTAACTTCAATTATTAAATATAATATAACCCGAGCGGTAAGGTTATATTATTGTGGGAACGTTTAACTAACAATAATCGCTTTATATAATGATGGGTTAGAGAAGATAAGTAACTCTGATTTAATAATGAAACTAGATATATTCTTAAAACAAACAAGAAAGATACAAGTGTTCTGTGTATGTTTGTCGCGTCCAAAGAATAATTATAAATACCTAAAATGTTGTTGCTCGGTGTTGACGCACTGGCGATGCGGGGGTAAGTCGGTTGAAGCTAAAGGCCGTAATAGAATTTATGCCGGTTCACGGATTCTATATGGTTTAATATTGATACGAAAGGGTACTGTAGCCCGATCTCACTAGATATAACTGATTATCAAAATCGTAGACGCGTAACGAGAGACGTGACGTTGACTCTAAACGTGACGATACGATTATGATCCCCAGAGTAATGAAGTCGCGGGGTTTATATACCCAAAAATCTGTGGGGGCGGATTGAAAAGTACTTCGGTATTCTCCGAATTGTGTTAATTACCGGGCTACTGTATCTCGACGGAAGTGACTCCCATTCCAAAGGTTAGATACGTAGCAGGGCGATTTCCCAATGCACGCAAGTGGCAAGAAAAATTTGAGGGACGAAACGTTCGGCATACGTAATTATTTCGTATAATTAATAAGTTATAAACGATTACTGGAATCGATTCTTATTTTAATATTGCGCTAAAAAGTGCATAAAAATAGTGTCGCCATCTAATATCAGGGATTCGAACTGCTAAAATCGTGCCAGGATCACAGAAAAGCAAAGGAGGTATTCGGAGTACAGGTTCCCCCACTCCTGCTACTCCTGATACACACTACCTTGATTAATCATTAATAACTCATTTCCTGGGAATCAAATATGAACTTTTAGAATCGAAGAATGTCGTATAGACACTTGGCTAGATTCAAGGATACTTTTTACCACCATTTCTGCTGTAATTAACAAGTTATTAACGAATATCGAAAGTCGGAATATTTACGACTGCATTAGTGTCTGCTTTAATCGATAAATTATCAACTTTTCATCAATAACAGGCGTATTTTGGCTATTAGAGACCCAAGTTAGGTAATTTTGCAACGATCCTTGCTGTAATTAATTAGTTATTAGCGATAGTTCTTGTTCAGCGCGCACACTTATCTTTTTCTGGTTCTGTGATGCGCTTCAAGCGGTAACTTAATAGCGCTTGAATATTTGGTGGTTGGTGTAATAATTGAGATACAATTAACTATTTTTAATATTTAATAATCTATCTTACAAGTAAACCTACCCAACTGATACTCACTGATTTGAATGAAATTTGACGTACTTATTAAACACCGAAAAATATTAAATACGTGTTTTTTTGTTTCAGCTAAATACGCTTTTTGGGGGTAGAAAGTACCCCGCAACCTCTGGAGATGGAAACGTTTGTGGCTAATTATTTCTTAAAGGTTACAGTTTCTGTAAAAAGTAGTAGATCCAGAGTTGTACAGTTTAAAGTGATACACTTGATGGTGTCCTTGAAATCGACCTTGAGGTCGATTTTCAAGGTCATTTGAAAATCATTTCGTTTATCAAAGGGAGTATTTTGCTTTTCACCCCGAGAATCGATAGAGCGTAAAATTTTACATTCATTGCCAGAGCGTTGGTGGTTTGTAAATGAAACAAGCTTCTGTAATTTAAAATTGTTTATTGATTCAACCAATTAAGGCAAGAGTAGTAATAATTCGATCAATAAAGAAATTAAAAGTTAATTATTCATTCAAATAAGGTAAGATGTGTGATCGAGATCCAGCCAGTGAAGGCGATTTCATAATTTCTTTTCACATATGTCTATGAATATAAATTCCATGGTAATTGGCATTATTCTTTATATTCATGACAATAATGAGGAATAGCTGTATCTTCTATGGCAAAAAAATGCTCCATACACAGAGAGTTAGTACACCACGCACATTTTATTACTGCAATGTTATTGCAGATTTTACAGACTGTACCGCAATTCTTTAAACAGAAATCGACAGGCGTTTCACATCTATCTGGTTTTTCTTGAATATATCCACTTTTCCACCAGACATATTTAATCATGTTTTGGAATCGGGGTGACGAAAATTGAGTGTGGATTAATGATTGAATTTTGAGGATGTTATTCCTCAAATGTAGGTTAATATTATAATTTTATAAGAGAATTAAGTCCGATAATTGTTTCAGGAAGTTTTTCCACGGTCTGAATACGTAGACATCCAATGGTTGAATGAAGCCAGTTGTTCCCGCAGGAATTGTAAGGATTTTTACTTCTTTATTATCCTTGTCTATATTTTCAAATTATATTTTCATTCTGGAAAAATTATTTTCGGTTGCGGGGATCAATTACAATAATTTTTGGTGAATGGACATATCCCCGAAATCTTGCGCATTTTCGAGAAAAAAATTCAGTACGAGCGGAACTTTAAACGTTAATAACTTTTTAACGAAGCCTCCATAAACAAATTGGTATTCTTGATTTTCGTCTTATGTTGGCCTCTACTATCGCTCATTAAAATTTTTACTATAGGTAGCCGAACACCCTGTATAGTAACTTCCCCCTTTTCGAAATCTGTTTAAAAAAAATGAAAATTTCTAATATAGCATGAATGTAACGTTCAATTTACAATTAGAGTGACATTTCATGTTTTCTTATCTTTATTTCTATTCCGAAGTTACTTACAAAACTTTTTTTCTCCTTTCCCATACCGTCTGATTGTTCCTTTTTTGGGAAAATAACGCAACAAATCAATTCTGAAGACAGATTAGAGTCATCGCATAAAATTACTGATTATAAATACAGGATGCGTTCAAGGTCCGGCAACTGCTAAATCCGGTCAGTCCGACTTATTATTTCCAAATTTAATTGACCTTGAAAATCGACTTGAAGGTCAATTTCAAGGACACCATCAAGTGCATCACTCTGTACTATACAACTCTGGATCTAGTACTTGTTTCAGAAACTGTATCCTTTAAGAAATAATTAGCCACAAACGTTTCCATCTCCAGAGATTGAGGGGTGCTTTCTACCCCTAAAAAGCGTATTTAGCCGAAACAAAAAAACACGTATTTAATATTTTTCGGAGTTTAATATGTATGTTAAATTTTATTCAAATCGGTGAGTATCAGTTGGGTAGTGTTACTTGTTAGTCTACTACAGTGCGGTCTTCACCTTTCTTGTTTAACTTTGTTTCCTGGTTTAAAAAATGTGTATATGATGGTAACTGATTCAAACTTTTTGTTGTTATGCCTCTCCCCGTCAGAAAAGCTACCCCTAAATACAAATCGGCCTTGGGTTCTGACGGGGATGAGGCCCGCGGATTGGCTGCTGTGGTATTTTGAATTTTGTCAGGGAAGACGGTCGTTTTCCCTGATTGGAGAAGTATTTGTCGAAAATATTACAGGTGACCGCCTCCAATCCATCGGTCACCGTTAGGTACCGAGGGCACCATCGAATGACGTCCGGGAAATTCCGCGTGCCTCGACCGTAGCAGGTAATAATTTTTATGAAGCGCCTTGACCTTACTAAGGCATGCAAGACGAAATAAAACTGAAAAATGTTTAAGCCTAAAATAGAGAACCAAATTGCGGATTATAAAACGGCGTGGAAGACAACCGA